AGTCGTCTGACATCTCAAGCTATCACGTCATGGGTTAACAGTACATGTTTGTTGACACTGGGACGTCACGTTGGTGCACAAGACGCAATAAATGACGAACACGTTATCTGTGTTATATTACTATGGGGGTACGATCACGTAGGAAAAAAAATGTTTTATTTTCTGAGAGAAAAGAGCATAATGGGCTGAGCAGGTCACTTCCGCTTTCATTTCATTTGTGGTTTTCACGGTTTGGCTGAGTAAATATGGCTCGGATGACGTCACCATGAATTGAGAGGAAAGAAAATATTCAGAGTAAAAGTATAAATTTTATTTTAAAAACGATTCTATTGGGTCAGTTTTAATTAACCCTACACAACTTACTGGAATCGAGTTTAGAAACAACAAACATGATTTTCGGCACCAACCTAAGGCGGTAAAAGTGGGCGGCTGCCACGGGCAAGCTACTCTGTTTTATAAAAAACTTGGACGTACCCTAAGGAAACACGCCAGCCAATGACTCTTATATCTTTTAGAAGCGAAATGAGCGGCCATTTTAAATTCTTTCCCAAGACTTTATTTTGGTAATAACAAGAACAGTACCTTGATTAAAATGTCAGAATTATTTACCAAGTCCTATTCTTCACCAAGTCCTTTTCTTCACCAAGTCCTTTTCTTCTGGTTGTGTAGTGTAGTTTTTTTTTTTTTTCAATCTGCCCGCGATCGACTTCCTGTCTAGCAGGTGTACACATTAAATTACGTACAACCGAAGCAGAAACGATTCCATTTGTACATACCGCTAGTGACGAAGCAGAAACGATTCCATTTGTACATACCGCTAGTGACAAAAGCAAGAAAAATTCACCGTTAAAAGCACCTTGTCTTTAATACAGGTAGCAAAGCCACGTTGATCCCAGCTATGGACATGGACGAGAATACACCAGAAAACGACCGGTTTCGTTCATTCAAGTATCGACGCTTCATCTATTCCAGTATCGACCCATTCGTTTTTTTTTTGTGTCGAGTAATCGATGCATGTAAATGTCGACTCTACAAAGGAAATATGAAGCCAATTTATCAGCAGAGGTGTTTTTTCCGGTATTGACATTATGTCATTATCTGACAACGTGCACCGGCCGCATGCGGACGTTAGCTGCTGTGATTTACATGTCCCGCGTCTCGGACCACTGGTGAAGTCCGTGTCGGTCTGATTCGTGTTAAGTGCTCCTTAGACCCTGACCGTGGTATGACGCTACGAGCGGAGCATGTGGCACAGACAGATAGTGAGACACTTCACTGTTTACCTTATGATCAAGGGGGGGGGGGACATCCATCCATGTACCGCTACAGCCCATGTCGGCCTTTGGCCTGCCTCACCACTTCCTTCCACTCAGACCTAACTAATGCCTTTCTTTTCCATGCTTGGACTTTTAGCTGCTGTAGATCTGTTTCTACATCATCTATCCACCTAAGCCTAGGTCTGCCTTTGAGCCTTTTCCCTCTGGGGTATTGGTGACGCACCCTCTTTGTTCCTCTGTCTCCGGAGACACGAATAAATACTGCTTGAGTTGTCTACTGTGCTCTTTTCTTTGGTATATTTTCATTTCTATTGTTGGCTGAGGAAGGCTTTATGCCGAAACGTCATTGTTTTTTGTCCTGTTATCTTATTTCAAGCTTCCACATACCTCGTTTCGCTATTTCATTCATTTACTAAGCTTGAAAGCAGTCCTTTCATTTATTTTTTCCCATATGTTTAATAGGTTTTCTGCTGGTTTTTGTTAGGGTCCAAGTTTCACTTGCATATGTTACAACTGGTCTGATCACAGTTTTATAAATAATTTTCTTAGTTTCTCTTGTAATGTTTTTACTTTTGAGTATTTTCTGACTCCTGAAGTATGCCCTGTTTCCTGCTGATATTCTTTCTTTTATTTCTGTTAGTAATTCATTTCTTTCATTTAACAAGGATCCTAGGTATTTGAATTGATTTACTTTTTCAAAAGTTTGGTTTCTAATTTTAATTGTTTCATCTGTTTGCTCCTCTCTTATCATGGTCATGCATTTTGTTTTTTAGTTGTTAACTTCCAGCCCTGCTTGTAAAGATGCGTCTTCTAATTCAATAAAAGATGTTGATGTCTTTAATACTTTTCCCTAGAAGTGCTATGTCATCAGCATATGCAAGATACTGAAGTGGTTGGTTGTAGAGTGTGCCCGTTGGTTGTGGGTCCTGAGTTTCCCTCAGAAAGTATCCTGATATCGTTCCTCGAGTGTCAATGCGTATGTTTCTAATAACTCTCTCTAATGTTAGGTTAAAGAGCATACAAGACAGTGAGTCTTCCTGTCTTAGGCCTCGTCTAATATGAAATTCCCTTGAATATTCTCCTTGAATCTTAATTTTGCTTTTTGAGTTGTTTAGTGTTACATGTATTAGTCTTGTCAGTTTGTTGGGTATCCCAAACTCCTGCAGAGTCTCAGATAAATAGTTTCTTTTGAAGCTATCATAGGCCATTTTATAGTCTACATAGAGTTGATGTACTGGTATATTATATTCATAGCATTTCTCTAAAGCCATCTGATGGTGAAAATCTGATCAGTCGTTGATCTTTTAGGCCTGAATCCACATTGGTAATCACCTAGTATTTCTTCAGTGTAAGGTTGTAGTCTTTTGGCAATAAGCTTCATCAGTATTTTGTATGTAACATTTAATAGGGAGATTCCTCTGTAGTTTGTGCACTGAAGTTTGGAGTCTTTCTTGTGTATTGGGGTTATTAATGCTGTTTCCCATTCTGTTGGGATTTTCTCTTCTTGCCAAATTTTTGTTATAAGTATGTGTATCTGATTGTGTAGTTCTTTTCCTCCATATTTAATCAGTTATGCTGTGATAAGGTCTTGTCCGAGGGCTTTGTAATTTTTCTTGTAATTAATTACCTCTTTTGTTTCTTCTAGGGATGGGCATTGTATAAAAGGGTCTGGTCCTCCCTGTGGGGGTTGATAATCTTCTTCTTGTCTATTGTCTGCATTCAGTATGTCCTCAGCCCACCTCTCCAGTACTTTACTATTTTCCGTGATTAATTCTCCATTGATGCTCTCACTTATTTGCGGTCTGGCTTGGTATCCATTCTTTTCATCTTTTATCTTCATGTACATTTCTCTTATATTTCCCTCTCTTGATAAATCTTCTATTTCCTGTAGTTTATCCTTTTCCCATTCTCTCTTTTCCTTCCTACACATTTTTGTTGCTTTCCTTCTGGCTTCCTTGTATGTTTGTGTTGTCTTTCTGGGTTCCCTTTGTAACATGATCATTCGTGCTTTGTTCCTTTCTTCCACAGTCTCTCTGCATTCATTGTCGAACCAGCCTACTCTATTGTTGGCTTGATGAAATCCTACTACTTTTTCTGCTGATCTTTTAATGGCATTTTTTATCCTATCCCACTGATCATTTATGTTGTTTTCCTCGTTTACTTCCTCGTGCGATGCTTCTAATTGTGCTTCTACTTCATTCTGGTAAGCTTTTGCAGTTAATGGGTCTTTGGGCAGCTTTTGGTAATCGTATCGTTTCTCTCTTTGATTACGACCATTGTGAACTAAGCTTATCCTCTGCCTATATTTTACCCTTACAAGTAGATGTTCAGAGTCCGCATCCGCTCCTCTTAGGCTTCTTACATCTAATATATCTGATCCATGTCTCTGATCTATTAAAACATGATCGATTTGATGGCGGGTGATTCCATCTGGTGAGTTCCAAGTAGCTTTATGTATATTTTTGTGCGGAAACTTGGTGCTGCTGACATCCCATTTCCTATCATGCAACTATCTATGACTTAATTTGACATTTAACACAAAGTCACTGTAGATTCAAACTTTAGTACTGACTTGAGTATGTTTGTAAAAAAAATCTTTTCTAAAAGACCGTTCAAAAACGTAACGGGTTAGTTTAATTATTAAACTTATACAGTATATTGACTTCCACAATAGCTGTTGGACGTCCTGAACTGGCAATCCACTAAGCAATAGCAACTTTCAAGTCCTCAGAAACTTTTCCGCTTACTAGTTTGTTTGACTGACATGACAAGAAAGTAGTTATTGATTTTACTTTAGAACTCTTTTGCCAGTCACTGTTGACAACCTGTCGATACTTTAGGCAGATGTTTATGCTGAAGTTGGTACATCAGCAATGTATTTGAACCACGGAAAACAAACTGCTTTGCTGTCAGCAGTTAGCTTGAAAACAAAATGATTGGTCAACTTTTCACTTAAATGCTTAACTGCAACATTGCTTTGATCATTCGCCCTTGTTGTTAACTGTCTAAATGGAAATAGAAATCTACAAAAATCTACTAAAAACAGTACTAAGTTAAATAGTATCCAAGAAAATAAGTAACCAAAAAGTTTGGTCTAAAATACTAAAAATTAATTTAAAAAATCACTGATTAAAGAAAATTTAATTGATTAACCATTATAACGATTAATCGATTAAATACCAATAACCATTATAACGATTAATCGATTAAATAATCAATAATTTGTGCAGCCCTAGTTTTTTCAATTCCTTACAAGAATATATATAGCTTGATATTTTTAATTTATTAGGTGATTTTTCATCACTTGCTTAGCAAAGTAAGTGCAGGGCCTGTGAATAGGGCTTCATCTTTTTAGCACAGAAAGTCCAAAACGGCTTAAGAGAGTTAAAAGAAAGCTTAAATTGGCTCTATTATGATTTTATATCATTTTACCAAATGATTTTGTAAAAATTTCTAGCAAATAAAAAAGAAGTGAGAACTTTCACTTAATTTTTATTAAAAGTGGGTATGTTTTACAGTGATTGCTATTTAGAATACACTGAATCCTGCAACAACAAAAAGAGCATTAAATTAAATATATTTGCTGAAATAGGAGGGATTTGAAAGTCATACAATTTAAACGTTTCATTTCTACTTTAATCTTTTTGGTTCATAATGTTAATCATTAAATAAAATCATTTAGTGATGACTATAATTTTATTTTTATTTGTCTTTGATACCTTTAGGACACCTCCTTCACTGAATGCACCGCAAACACAAATGTCACGAGAAACAGAAAAAAAACAGAAAAGTTACCTCAAAAGTCTTCCCTATTTGATCCATTGGAAAATATTGATGTCTGCTATGATAAAGGCTATTTGAATTATGTATTTCTATTGGATGGTAACACATACCAGTATTTGAATGGACGTGAGTCTAAAGTTATGTTCATTATGAGGGGCTTGTCTGGGTCAGGAAAATCTACGATTGTTAAATTATTGGAATCTTCCTTCAAGGATGTTGCTGTGTGCTCTGCTGATAATTATTTCTACTCTCAAGATGGTTCATACAATTGGAACGAACAATTATTGACTGCTGCTCATGATGACTGTCAGAATAAAGCCAAACAGGCATGCCAAGACAAGGTTTCAGTTGTCGTCATTGACAACACCAATGTAAGAAAATGGGAAGTAAATTTCTATGTCAATTTAGCAAATGTCAGTGGCTATGTTGTAGTTATGGTCATGCCAAAAACACCTTGGAGAATGAACCCGATAGAGCTGGCCAAAAGAAATAAACACGGAATGGCAGTAGATGTTCTCAAGAAAAAGGTTCAGATGTTTGATGATATTATTCCAGCTTACTACGCATGGTTTTTAAATGAAAGAAAATCAGAAATCCTTTTGAAGATAGTCACTAAAATATATGAGGAATGCCTGGTCAAACTTCCAGGGCTCAGGGAAAGCTTATTGAAAGAATTGAATATCAAGTCTGAACACATTTCCAAAGGTAATAATCAATTATATGTTTAATGTATTTCATTATTTAATGATTGTTGAATGTTTATAATTTAATATACTAAAATCTTCATGTAAGATTCACTATTTAAGAATAATTTTTTTTGCCTCCAGTTATCTGCTCTATCAGAAAAAGTAGTTATGTATTTGCTGCCTCTGAATAAGATTTTTTTGTTTATTAAGTAGTTTCTTTTTTAACTTCATGTATTGCATTCACATACTAAAATAATGCTAACCATGATATCCATCAAACCATCCTGCCATTAATACAGAAACAAACATTTTTCAGTGTTCAAAATAAGAAACACATTTATTTTTGTTAGTAAATTTTTTAACTAAAGGAGATGCCATTTTTTTAAAATCTAATTTTTTTTTTATTGTGTTTGAATTTTGTAGACTGTATTGTGTTTGAATTTTGTAGACTGTATGAATGTTTGGCTCTAGCGGTGGGCAGCATGCATGCGGGCTTTAAACTAATATTATACATATATATTTTTTTATTTAAAAAAAAATGAAATTCCCTATTTTTTATTTCAGAAATGGCAGGACGCATTTTGTCATCATATTTTTCTCAAGAAGGTAAAAAGAGTCCACTTCTGCATTGCACTGCCAAGTTCTGTGGTCGGGGCAAGGCGGTCAAATCTCTTGACTATCACAAGAGACCCGATGTTCAAAATTCTTGTGGGCAAGTATTTGATTTAACCATCACGGGAATCGTGATAACAAATAAAACCATGAGTGTAAGGGTCAGCCTTAACCCCCAAGCAAGCACTTTGTTTCAGCGGCCGGAAGAAGAAGAATGGGGGAAAACAAATTCAAGTTCCAATGACTTTTTGGAAAAAAGTACCAAAAGGCAGATGAAGAAAAATTTAAGAGCTCAAAAGAGGACTAAAAAAAATAAGAGAAAGGAGTTGATGAACAGTCCAACATCAAACAAGAACACAATGCCATTGGAAAACCAAAATGTACATGTTTTTGATAATGTAGTAAATTCTGTGTCTCCTACAGCAAGTGACACATCTTATGAGACCAGTGACATATCTCTGTCTGCTAGTTTTGAGGAAGAGAAACCTTCATTGCTGTCAAAAACATTTCCCTCAGTTAAATTTACTGGTGAAGGTAGGAGTGCTCATATAACATTAAAAACTTCCAGGGGCATAGAGTCGAGGGAGGTGAATTTTGATATCCTCAGGGTGTGCGATATTGAGGCCGCACTGGGGGAAAACTTGCCGTTTCCTGTACCTGTGCAGAAAGGTCAAGCCTGTTACTATGGTAATGGTATTTGTTGTGTTTACTTTGATAAACCACTTAAAGTTAAAACACTGTTTTCAGGCCATTATTAAGCTTTGGTGGGTTTAGAAGCATCATTGTGATAATTTCTTATTTGAATTATATATTCCATTATCAAAATCACTACGGCAGCATTTTTCTTTTTTTAAATTAATGCTTTCCACTTCCAAATGAATTTTGTGAACATGACCTTGCTATTAATATGTCATAGTTTTCAAAATTTGCTAAATCTTTTAAGTCAATACTGAAATGCATTGTATTAATTTAATTAATTGTTTTTTCTCTCTGCGTTCGAAAACTTATTTTTTCTTCAAAACTCTGTTCATTTGTAAAAAGCTGTGCACAAAATATTACATATTTTTGGGAGGTACGTTTTTCAATGTAAGTAATTTAAATCATAAGTGTACGTTTTGGAACATATTTATGCTATGGTTCCATTGTTTTTAAAAAAAGGGAATTTCTGTGCCAGAATTTTGCCATCTTTCCGCAAACCTTAATCAAAACAACTTAAATTTAAAACAGAAACAACAAAAAATTGTGATATAAATAAATTTTTCAGATGTGACGTAGTCCTTCGTTAAATATGAATCATTTATGCACTAATTAAATTTTAACTGTCTACATGCTAATAAAAAAAAAATTGATGTTATTTCTCTACAAAAAGGAATTATAGGGTTCACTTGATTTTGTGGAAAGATTTTTTAACTCTTTAAGTCAGTTTAATTTATCTCTTTTTTTTTTTAATGCAGTTGGAATTCTGTTTATGTGATATTTTAATGTAACATTTTTTTACTTTTATTTGAAAATAAAAATGTATTTTTATAGTCACTATACATATTTAATTTAAAATATTTATTATCATTTTATTTTAAATACGCAATACAATTTAATGATATTTCCTTTTTCTGAAGCTATTTTATTTAAAAAATGTTTTCTTTTTTGTTCAAATATTGGATACCGACATAATGAGGATTACTTGTGATTTAAAAAAATCATTAAAATTAAAGTAAAATTTGTTTTGTCAACATTCCTTTAATTTCCAAAATGAATCCCAAAGTGCTTAGCTAATCAAGTTCAAATTGCTGATTTGAAAGCATTTGAAAGTTAATTTCTTTTATTATTTAAAGGCTTTTAGCTAACATGGTATACCAGTTTTAATGAAACAATTTTTTAAATTCTTTTTCAAATGCCTTACATTGAAATGTGAATTTAGTCAGTGTTACACAAAATTTAAGAGTTCTAGGTTGCGCTACACAAAATTTAAGAGTTCTAGGTTGCTGAGCACTCTAAACTGAGAAGCTTGTAGACTTGAATATTCAATCTCCAGCAAAAGTCTGGACAAGCAAAAAACAATACCAGCACCTGAGTGGATGGGAATTGTTAACCTTGGATGGCAACTTATATAAGAGAAGGCAAACTATTGGGGTATGACATTGACACAATGAAAAATTCCTGCAACAGGCAACGCATAAAGAGCACAGTGAAACACACACATAAAACACTGCTGGTCATCTACTGCATCCTGGTCTACTTCCAGTCATCTTGACTATGTTCTACTATTGGGTCAAATAGGCAATGACATATAACGGTACAGCTCAAGTCAAGGCTACTACTCAAGTTGAAGCCTTGGTCATCTTCCCATGTGAAGGAATAAAAAAAAGTTTGAAATTCATGTACTCTGATGTTAAAAGTTTTTGATGACTATCACTTCAAGAAATCTAAAAAGTGCATTTAGCAATCTAAGGTTCACTTTAAAACAATAAAGCAAGACTACATTTTGTTTTGCAATGGTTATAAAATGTTAATAATCAAAATCATGCACCAGATGAAATATATTAACTGTTAAAGAAAGGGATTATTGTTTTTCCTATTCCCGACACTTAACTTATTACTGCATGCATCAATGGGGAGATAAATTAATTTTAATTAAGATGACGCAATATCAAGCACTACATTTAGCTGCCTAAATGATTGAAACACTGACTCTAATTATTCAGTAAACATTAAAATTTAGTGTCAGGATTTATGACATGACATTTCTTCAAAATAAAAAATAAATGACCAAAAAGTAATCTCCAACTTGAATGTAATTATAGCAATGGCTCACAATAATGAGACAATTTGGATGCTTTTCCTGGCAAGGGACTCAAAAATGAATATCTCATCATTAAAATTATACAAATAATATAAATATAGTAGTGTAAAAAGTTATGATTATATTCTCATGTATAAAGTTATTATAATATACTACTAGTGCAGGGGTCTCCAAACTTTTCAGCCCGAGGGCCGCATTAACTATCAAATAGCAGTCCGGGGGCCGACTACACACTCGAGGTCCAAATAAAAAAGAATCAAAACATGGATGTTTTTTTAAATTATTTACGTATTTTAATTTTATTCAGATATTATTTAATAACACATTGATACACGACACATGAACACCTGTATTAGTGGGAATGGTGAAATTGTTTCCTGGATGCCAAAACAGTAGCGATTAGCAGACATTTCTGGATTTAGATTTGATGTCCCTAACATCATCAGTCATGAGCTTATCATCGAAAAATTTGTTCTCAAATTGTTCTTCACGTATTTCATTCTTGAAAATGTTTGTTCACACAGGTATGTTGTTCCAAAGATTGCAAGGTACATTGATACAAATGTTTTGAAATTAGGAAAGTCTTCCTTGGGCGAAAACTAGTAAAAACCCCACCGGTCCTTCTTTGAACTTGTCCCTCAGGAGGTCATTTGCTTGCAACTCAATGAGCTCCAGGTGCAGTTCATCTGGGCGACTGACCACATCTGCTTCAAATGTGTTTTGAAAAAGTCTCACTTCTTCTGCCTTTAAATCCAAGTCAGAAAACCACTGCTGAGACACTGCAGCTGGGGGTCTTTGATGATCTCGCATGCAAATGGCGTGGGGAACTTCGCTGTTGCTTCAGTCATGAAGACCATCCACGGCTGAAAGTGCATCAAGCTGGTACCCTGTACTTGTTCCAAAAAACAAGACGAATTTGAATTTGAAGGCCTATAGGTGGGTGTATAGATTAGAAACTAGATTTTCCTCTCCTTGTAGTTTTAGGTTCAGAAAATATAAATGACTATATATGTCTGCAAAAGATCAATTTCCATACCCACTCTTCATCAGACGGTAATGGCTGTGGCTTGCCTTTACTTTCCAGGAAGTCACCTATTTCCTTTCTTAACTTAAATACTCTGCTCAGAACTTTCTCACAACTTAACCATCTTATTGCTGTGTAATATGGTAAATCTTGCAATTCTGTGTCTGTATCTTTCAACAAGTCTCTGAGCTGTCTATGGTTGAGCCCATGTGACCTTATTAAATTAACCCTCTTTACCACAGGATTCAGTACGCTGCTAATGTCCACATATTTAGCACACAGCTTTCTGCTGAATAATACAGTGCAGGAACATTGGTTGCAGAATTTTTTTTCTTATTACACATCTGCTTCACTTGTCCAGCCAAGCCTCTCTTTATGCAACTCATGTTATTTCCCCCGTCAACAGTTGGGCAACTGAGGTTAGTCCAGTCCAAGTTATAATCAGCAAATGTTTTTTCAAATAATTGAATATATCCTCTCCGGTAACAGTGTGGTACATGCTATGTAGGGAAGCCAGCTCTTGTGTTATGTTCATGTCTTCATCCACACCCCTAACGAACAGAGGCAGTTGAGAGATAGAACAGTTGTCCAGCGATTCATCCATTTCAATTAAAAATTGGCAAAATTTGCTTGCATTTTTCGCTATTTGAGTCACAATGTTTTCAACCATGTCTGCAACACAGCGGGCAAAGCTCCGCCACTAAATGGCGTTATATCATCTCATTGACTGAACGGAAGTAGAAAAAAAAAATAAGCAGCGAATAAGGTTTTGCCAAGTAATGATCGGTTAGAAAACATAACACACTACTGCGCGCCCCTATTTTAATTTGGTAAAAACATAATGTCCACGTAAGCGGCGTCTGATCTTGGCAGGATACATGTTAATTTCCATAATTTTTCCGTAGACAAAAAGGTCTCCACCGTAGTTTGGAGACCCCTGTACTAGTGTAAAGGGCTAATTTACGAGGGCCTGGGCTCAAGCCTTGTATGTACATAAATTATAATAAATAGTGGAACAAGGTAATAGGCTTGAAATTGAAAATCAAAGACAAAACAAGCAGATGTTCGGGCTTGACACCTTCTTCGGCAGACAATACAATATAACATTAAATAAATGACAGATAAGTTTAAATAAAAAACATAAAACTTATGCTTTTGAAGATGTCAGCAATGTCAATGTTGCTGAATTTTCCGAACAGGAAGTTATTGATGCCAAAATTTATAAAGATTTATGAATAGTTATTTCATATTTCGTCTGACATTAAACACCAAATAAACGGACTAATCACGAATGCTAGGAACACAAACTAAACATCCTTCACTTAAAGAACTATATGAAGAAAGATGTTATTGTAAAACTAAACAAATTTTGGATGATACATCCCACCCTCTTCATCACAGATGATTAGGATCAGCCCGTTCAGAGCAAATTCTTTCTCTCAGGGCGAGGTTAAGTCCCTGATATGGCTAAAAGAAGTCACTGAATGTTTTCACGAGTGAAATAATTTAATGTAGATGTCTGGTGTTCAAATTGTTTTATTTATGTGCTGAAAATTTACAATGCAATCAAAAATTTCCATTTGTTTGGATCAATAAAAGAATCTGATCTTATCTTTTGATGATTTTTTTTTAACTGAGATCTTTCAATAAATCTAATGTAAAGAAATCCTTTGTCACCACATAAGCAATATGTAATAATTTGATTAATGGTTTTAATTTAATTCATTTACATGTTAAATCTTTTAGTTTATATATATTTTTATTGAATGATTTAATTGGTGGCGCTCACTATTTTCCTGTTTAGCCTATAGTTAATTTTTGACTTCTTAGAAAGGTCCATCCTTTGACAAGGCAACAACATTATTTACCTATTTTTATAAGCTATTAAATATTTGAACATTCTAAAATATTAAGTAATAATGAATGACTGTCCGTTAGTTTTGAAATATGACTTTATTGTTATTTATTATGAACAAGAAAATATAATAGTGTACATGTATTATGGAAGCACACGCACTCAACAAGCATACAAATAAAATACCTTTCAATAAATAAATGATGTTTTAAAAAGTACATATAAATCATTCAAATACAGTTTTTAGCAATTCAGTATTTGTTTTATGGCAATACATTTTAAACCAACTAAATATGATCAGAATTCAAATTAAAGTAATGCTTTTTCACTGGGATAAAGAATAAGACTAATAAGACTAAAAGTTGTTTAGTGCAAATGGGTTATGTCCTGGTTATAGCTTTGCTTTGGGTCATCTGTTTTTTATTACAGCCTAACATAATAAGTCAAATATCTTGTAATGAAAATAAATGAAATGAAGTGTTTTCATATTCACCCCCAAATTTTCAGGACATTCAGGTGTATCCAGTTACAATTTTACCTATTAATATTATGGCACAAGCAATGGAAGGATATGCAGCAAGTATCTGGTTCAATACAAATAAATGCAACACATGAAATATCACTAATTTAAAAAAAAACATCTTTCAAAAAAATGTTAGAAGTTAATATTTCTTTCTGAAATTCTAACTCATGTTCATTAGTTCAAATTTATATTCAGTGTTTATTTGGATCAAGGCTTCTCAAACTACTGGGTACTTATAATGCTTTTGTTCCCAGTCTGTGTGAATTTACCGGCTTGCTCCCTCTGTGGTTACCAAATCTAAATGATCACTAATTAACTCATTGTCATTAAGGGAGTTCATTGATAGTTGATTTCTACTTTTGATGTTTTGTGTTTAAATTGTTATAATTGTAAAATTTTGTCTTGGTTAAGATATGTATTTATTTATGTGCTGAAAATGAATATGTACATTGTAATAAAAAAAATTTTAATAAAAGACTCTTATGTTATCATAATGGAATTTATAACTAAAATTTAAAGTTTACAGATAAAATCAAATTCACTGGAAGCTTTAGCTCTGATGAATCTAAATTATTTGAAAAATATTTCATAATTGGAAAAACGGTGTGATTTGTGCTTAAAATATTGTTAGTGAAAAGGATACACATACAGTTACAGACTTTTCACTACATAATAACCTTTAAATTGGGAAATTTTATCAAAAGTATACAATCTGTGTGATAGTAAGAAATAAGTGCACACTTATATTTAATTTACAGGACTGCATTTATTTATTTTTTGTATAACCTTTGATGAATTAAAGAGTTGACACTGATGAAATAAAATTGAACATAAATTATTGGCGTTCCTTAACAGTTGAAAAAGCATTGCATGTGTCATTTTTCACAAGGTGTGTGTACCTGACAAAAGTATAACTAAACATGATGCTTGTCATTCTTCCAACTTAGTCTGGTATTTTATTTGATAACAATGTGGGAAATCAATTATGTTTTCATAATTCAGACAGTTTATAAGCAGATTAGTGATCAATGGTACAGAAACTACTGAATGGGATAAACAAGAGTAATTTGACTTCACTCATGCAGCTCACCTAATATGTTATGTTTGTGATTACTTCCCTTTGTTTCTGATTATTTCCCCATTTACTTAACCAGCAAAAAGGGAATTACAACTGAATCAATTTTATAGGTTATGATGTGAATTAGTTTTCCTTAGAAAAATAAATACATGGAACTTTAAATAAATAATTAACTGCCCAAGGTTTACAATGAATTCAATCAAAAAGAATTTTTGTCAATAATGGGAAAACTAAAAGAATAGTTGGTTTGGCTTTAAGAGACAGAAAACAGAAGAAAAAAAAATACATAACAAAAGGTCAGTCATAATGAAGCAAAATTTCAACAACTGGTAATTGATAACAAATATGTTAGAAGTTTATAGGCAGTACCCATAAACTTTAAGCTGAAGTGTGGAAAAATAAATATAAAAATAAATGTCAAGATACAGAATAAAATTAAATAGATGTGTTACTCTATTAGTTCAAAAGATATGCAGCTCCGGTGCCATAAAATATACTGGTTTTATTGTTGTCAAAAATATAATAAATTTGTTTAGAAGTTATTTGACCATTGAGTTCCATTATTTGTTTCTACCAAGGATTTCTTTTCTAGTGATTTTGTTATCATCTAAAGTTACCCACATATTGAAATATGTTTGTTTCAGAGTGATACTTGAATAATGTTGTGTATAGCTTGCTCACATCATTGATACAGATTGGTTAAGAGTCACAATATATTCATTCTCTAACTCATCCTGTGATTTCAATCAATTAATGGAAAACTGAATATTTAATTGATAGAAGACATCAGCATTTTTAAACCAGTGGGCAGCAACAGACCGATGTGATATAACATGCAGAGATGTCTCACTAGATTTTGAAACTGGGTCTTAAAAATAAGAAGGAAACTGTTACTGTTAATTGTTGGTCATTTTACCTGTGAAGTAGAGAACTAATTAGAATATGATTGCACATACCATATGAAACATCTAATTTAATACAATTATTAAAAAAATGAATTGAAAAAAATGTGTATCCTCAATACATGAATGGTATTTCTCAAAATCTTTTAATTACTTTAAACCCGTTGTCATTAAAATGGTAAAAATCTGTTGATAAATAATATAATTTATAATTAAGAAAAATTATCATTTTTTTCCAGTTTAAAATAAATAGCTTAAATCACAGTCCTTGAAGTTAATCGTTTTGAAGTTTCACAATGAGGACCTATGGTCATTGGAATATTGCTGTGCCATTTTTTCATACTAACTGAAGTTCACTTAATGATACAACTAAATGAAGTGATCTCAAGTCAAACAATAGCTATATAGTTTTAATACCAAAACCAATGACTATATACAAGCAGTCCATACTCGGCCATGAATAAAAATATATATAACAAATCACATCAAGTAATGTACATGGAAGGCAGATGCACTTCAAAATATAATTGGCTGACGTTCATTATCAAAATTTATTGTAAGATGCCCTAGAGCATCTCCTGAATAAATGACGTGACAGTAATAATACATACAATCAATGAAATTATTTCAAACACATTGGTCAGAGAGTTTAGAAACAGTGGCCAAGTTTGCTCGGGGAGAGTAAACACTGAAAGACCACGGAAGATCTGACTATGAGTTTGTTAATTAATCAAAAGACTTCCACCAGAGTGACTCAGAACATAGTATAGAGTCCAGAGTAAATTTAGCGGGAAGTAAATAGATCCATGCCTCTGCCAGGACTGACCGACCTGCACAAAGTAATGAGTATTTTTTTTAATAACGTTATTGAGAACATATCATGTCTATTTGTAACCAGACATACAGGCAACATAAACCCTGGTGTATTTACAAGACTGGGGCAGACACAGACTAATACAGAAGCTGCTCAGCTCAAGGACAAGAGAACTTTTCAATCTTCACCTCTGGGAGCATGTGAAAATGTAAGACATCAAGATAAAAGGGAAACATTGATGGAAACATTCATCTGATAAGAAATGACTTGACTGGCACTGGACTCAACGTACATGTTTTCATTGAGTAAGATTTCTGTGCGGGCACCTGTAGTAAACAAAGCATGGGACTACAGAAACTATAAGAAGTGATACCACAACCTTGATGAAAACTGACCGTGCTTTAACTGACATGACAAACACACAAAAGGATCTAACATTGTTCTGTAATTAAATCAATATATGATTGATATTTATTGGATTTGATAAATTACCCTAGAGATGACCCTTGAATAAATTTAGATAAATATACATTAGATAGATATTTATCATTTATAATTAACTGTCTCTGATATCTAAAGCCTAAATAATATCCTAGACAAGGGTTAAAAAAAGACATTTGTACATCTCCTTGTGTTTTGGGAAGATAAATTTGAACAGGTATTATTTTATTTTTAAAAAAAACAAAGGAACTTTTAAAATGTAATCTGTCAATTGTTCCTTCTGTATTCCACCCCAAAAAAATAAAAATAAGATGAACCCATCAATTAAATAATGTACATTAATGAAAGTATTATACTGATGAGATGAGAAAATTATTGAGTGATGTAAATGATGGGTAAAATAGTTGCATTTGCTGAGGTAACAGATTCTTGCCACAAAAACATGTCCACTCTACGAGAATTGTTCATACATATATGAACTAAACATTTTTTAACACAGCCCACATCATATTTAAGACTAAACAAATTACGCAATCAATTTTTAGGACATTGAGTATTAACTTAAAAAACATTGATGCAGCACGATTTGGTTCGATGCGATTATCAGAGGTTAATCTCAAACTTATGCTTGAGTAAACAAATTTTATCAAAGGCCATTATAATTTGAAATGAAAATTAATATTTTATAATCTAAATACAGAAAATCATGTTTTTGAAAGTGTTCATGAAAGGAAAAAAAAAAGTATTTTTTAATTTTTTTATGGCTATAAATCTTACCCACTATCTACCAGCCATATTATGAAACCAATATCCAATCATTGGAATCTATTTTGCATTGCCATCGACTTAAATTACACAGTGATGATCTTCTTAGTTTGTAGTATGTTATGAAATTGAAAACCCACAAGTTGATAAGGAATATTATGGTTTAAATATATACAACACGTTTTAACAGGTTTATTACAAACAAAATAATTGTGAGTTTTAATTTTTTTTTTAAATAAATTTTTCAATTGGTGTGGGGAAAAAAAGAAGACACATCATGAAATAAACACTAAAGACTTCAGGAAGATAATTAATTATAATGCACTGACCTTCATTGTTCCGGGCTGGCTATTGCCACAATCATAACTTTTGATATTAATAAGTAAACATTGGACCCCACCAAAATAATGAGGATCTGTGGCTCAGTGACTCATCACTGTAAACCTGCCAAAATTTGATGGTCTGTATAAATGTGTGTATTTTGCTACTGCTGGCCAGTAAAGAACCCACTCAACTGATAACCCTACACAACCAGGAGTCATTCAACCCTGACCCAGTTGAACACAAAATCTGATGTCCACTTCTACTCACATACCAACTAGATCATAAAAAAAAACACCATTTTTGGGACAGGAACTGGCCCAGATGAAAAGATAAACTGATGTCCACTTTAACGGACAAAACAACTAGATCATTAAAAAAAAAATACAATATTTGTAGAGCAGGAACTGGCCAAGATGTAGCAATGTATTTGTTGGTTAAGTTTAACCCTCTCCGTCATATCACAATAAGGAAAACACTGTTTATTTGAAATGAGAATGCTCCAGAGCTTTCCATGCAGTGCAGGCATCCAAAGAAATAAAACCATTGCTATGAGCAATAAAGGAGCCTATCACTTCAGAGACAGGGGTTGCTTATTTTCTACAATTTACTCCATGTTGCAGGAAACTTCAAAGAAGAGTGTGAAAAATTGTTCCACATGTCGTCTCAGTTCACTTAAACTACACTGCTGACATACTGAACCCACTGTTTTGATCGTGTGACTCCTGGCAGATTTTGTTAACACCTGCAGCCTGATGATCTATTTTCTTCATCGCCTGTTAGTCGAACACCTTGACCCTGACCCACCGTTCCTGGAGCCTTTGATACCATTTTATGTGCTGGAATAGTCACATGAGACAAATTAAATTATGCAATAATTTACTTGTGCGAAAATATTTGTAGTTTTGATTTCTTTCTTCCTGGTTTTTGTTCAACAGCATTTTTAACAACAAGGGATTTCATTACAAACATAAATAATTTTATTTAAAATAAAATGTTGCATTCTATTTTTTTTTTTTAACTTAAAAAATTGCATTATTTTAAGGTCTAATTATTGGCACAAGCTACACTAATATATTTCCCTTGAACTCTGAATAGTTAATTTAAGGGCTACATGTCCAACCAAATAAGTGGATCATACCTGCCAGAGTGTCAAATACTGATTTTGGACATGATAAGCTGTAAAATACTGATATTGTTTAAAACTGTTTTATCCACAAATGAATACATGCATCCATGGTTTATCTGCACAAACTATGGATTCAAACAATAGTCCCTTACCAATCATCATGAACATTTCATTCACTGCAAGACCAGTTTTAGCTGAAGCTTCTGCAAAAATCAGCCCATTCTCTTCTGCAAATGCTCGAGCATCCTGAAATATTTTTTAAAAACAATCAAACTCTTTCATATGCAAAAATAATAAATAGTAAAAAACAAATCAACGGTTCTACATAATAGAAAACAGATCAATGGTTGCACATAATTTTTACTTTTGTTTACACAAAGAAACAGACCCAACCAGCATAAAAAATCAATCTTGATCTTACTGAAATGACTTTTCCTCCATCTACTATATGAGCCACTCAAAAAGATATGAGCCTGAGCAGCCCCCATCCCTGACAATTTCAAAACATTTTACAAAGCTTTATTTTAACAAAAATTGTTTATATAGAACCGGTAGCTTTTATTATTTTAAGTAACAGTTACATACAATTCTTTAAAAAGAGAGATAGCTAACATCCGACGTCTCTGTGGCATCTTGTTTTAGTTTCCTGGGTTTTTACTGACATAATTAAATAACTGGCCTCAAAAAAGTAGCATGAAATATAAAGATTTTAGATCAAGAACAAAGATAATTTTTATAACTATAAAACTTGAACTTTTCATTTCTCAAGTGAAACACGAATGCAGCTGTGGAAATATCTTTTTTTTCTCTTCTTTTTAACTTTAAATAATTTTCTTTTAAAATTAAGTTTGTTATTATTCCACAAAACCAAAAGTTGATACTTAAAAAATTGAATAGTGTGTCCCATGCATGTTAAACTACTGGGGGGGGGGGGGGGGGGGGGGGGAAAGGAAATTACAATTTCCAGCACAAAAATGTATCTATAATTGCCAGCATCTGACCTCTACAGTGGTGTTGCCCTGTTATCAAACCATCTTGCCAAGGTCACCAATTAGGCTTTGGTGCATAAAATATGTATGCATGGCTGGTCTTGGTTTCATGGTATGGTTTTTATGGCTAGCAACTTTATGTGACCTTTACCATGATTTGTAAGAGTGTAAATAGAGCATTCAACAAAGATTTATTATTTACTTCAGTCAAAAATGTATAAATGACAAATAGTCCTTAGAAATTATATCCTTAAACAGTATGTGAAAATAATCAATTAAATTTTTTTTGTTTAATCTAGTAATGGGTAATGGATCCTGGGTGATAAATAACTCTCTGTACTGTATGATGAACTAGCCAGGAAAGAGTATTTTTAAAAAAACTGTAAAACTTGATAGCCACATGTTTTTAATTAAGTGAAGACAAAAACAAAAAAACAAAAAAGAGTAGTCCGTGACCTCTGTTGACACAGCTCTGTGTTCAGCAGCCAGATCTGCCTTATTGCCTGCTAATACGATCACAATGTTGCCTGTAGCCTGCTGCCTCAGTTCCTTCACCCATGTCACTGCTCTGTTAAATGTGTTCTGGATAGAATAAGTTATCAGGTTTCAAATCAATGGTAAAAATGAACTTGGGGAATAGCAATGACAGCAATACGATACATTGGTTGGTGAATAGCTATACTAGCAATGTAATGCACTGATTGATAAAAGCAATTGTAGCAATGTGATACACTGGATTTAGAAACACACTATAAAATTATAGTGCCAGGGTAATATAATTAATTAATCGTTACCATAGATAAGCAGTGGTAAATAAATTGTGTGCAACCTTAGAGTTCAATGATTTACCCTTACTTTCTTTTTAAAACCAATTGCTGTGCAAATTCATATCCTCTTTTCCTTTCCCCTTGGTCTACTTGCAACACTCAGTTTACCACCTTCATCTTGCTGCTCCCTGGGATATACATTTCAACTAAGTTTTTATTGTTATACTTATCACTCTTTGCTTGTCCTGTTCTCTGACAAAGGCTTTTTGGAGCACACCTTCGTCAATTTGTTTCGTCCAAAGTTTTTCCACACCTTTTATACATATTTCCTTTAACCTAACCAGACTGAAGCGCCCCACCCCCCTCTACCAACCTTCTTATTAATCTAGTTCAATGAATGCCTTTTTAACAGTGACCAGAAGACATTATATAACAGAAAAGTACATAAAAAACAGTTTTAGAATTTATCACAGTACATTTTTTTCCCTAAATGAAGAACTAACATACCGAATTATTTATATCATACACAACAATGGCTGCCTGGGCCCCTCTGTAATACATTGGGGCTAGACTGTGGTATCTCTCCTGGCCAGCAGTGTCCCATATGTCAAATTTAAGAGTCTGGCCTAGAACTTGAACTGTCTGTGTAAGGAAGGCAGCTTTAAGAGAGAAAAAAGTTATAAAATTGCTATGAATTTTAAAAAATAATACATGAACAAAATCTCTGTTATTTATTATGTGGTCGTCAAGTTTTTGTGTTGCCAAAATTATGTTTAACTTTTGTTCATTATTCATTTAAAGACACAAATAGTTCTGCACTTGTCATTACCTCCAACTGTTGCTTCACTGTGTTCAGGGAACTGACCACGCACAAATCTCAGAGCAATACTGGATTTCCCCACTCCTTGGTCTCCAAGGAGGACCAGCTTTGCTTGCTGAACCCTGGGACCCCCTGCTGGGCCGGTCCGGGGGCCAGTGTTACGTCGGCCAGTACTCATGGCAGGTTAGGGTTTTTCAACCTTGTTTAACTCCTAGAACCCAAAAGCACTCAGGCACAGATGAGCCCTGCTTGTGCCGATGACAGATTTCTTAAAGTTTATTTAGTATCACTGAGATAAATGAATGATTCCATTGAGAAGAAATGCTGAAAATAATGTAGAGAGAAAGTTATATTCAAGACACTACTTTACATTACTTGACAAGTCTTGATAATTAGCATCATAAGTTGTGATAGTGAGCATCATCTCAGTGTTTATAATCAAAAATGCTTATTCATTTGATAGAACTGTTTTATCATCTCCTTTAAAATAAAAAAAATGTCCTGTAATTTATTCCTATTACTTATAAACCAGAACCCAAATAATTTTCTCAACAGATTATAACATGAAATAATAGTGGTTTCAAGGGAAAACATTTGATATCCTTGTGCTTGCGAGTTACATGGCTTTCACAGCTCAAAGACAATCAAACAGAGAAGCAATAACCATACATAATACCAGCCATAAAATGGACACACAGATAATCCCATACATACTCAGAAAGCATAGCTTCTTTATCAGGGAGGTTTACAGTAGTTCAGTTCATATCCCTTGGAGCATAGCGACTTGAAACAATTCTATACACCATAATAATTATTTTACTGTAAGTGAGATTTTCTAATAAAATTCACACAAAAAAAGTTCAAATTTAAATATACGATTCAAACAGCACTAAAAAAAATATTTTTTCAAGCTTTTTTTTCTTCCTCCCAAAAAAAAAACATGAAGCAATAAAATAACACTATGAAAAAAAAAACACAACAAAATAGTTCCACAACCTCAGAAATCTAGAACACCCTTAGCTGTAGTAAAATTTGCTTATGAGAAGCTTTTCAACTGTCTCTATCCCAATTAAAGTTGTTGCCCCTTTAAAACTGAGAAAGTAACTGTGTCCATAAATGTCAATTTTATCTCTAAGCTGAATAAACATGTCATCCATGAATAGATCCCAGCTATTTACTACTAAGTAGAACCTTTGCCTTGACCTTGCCTGTTGATATCTACTTAAGATAAGTTCCTCTTTAGGTTACCCAGTCCCTCACCTGACCACACACCCAAGATAGCACGTACCAAACTTAAATCCTTGTTTAAAGAGCCAAGGCTGTTAAGAAAAATCTTAAGCTCAATTTTAATTATTGAACATCGAATTTTTTTCCTCCTCATCGGGTAGACAAATTTTTTCATAAAATCCATTTTTCCATGAAAGAAGGATTAATATCTGATTGGGTGTAGACTTCTTCAGATAACAGACTCATTTAAAGATTGTACAATGATACCATTATACAGTCATACAACTATACAATTATACTAGTATACAATGATACTACTATACAATAATACTATTACACTATTATAAAATTATACTATTATTATAGAGATCAACACAAAACAGGTTTCGTTATTCTTTCTTATAAAGAATTTCCTCCTAAGTCCTCCATCATAATTCAACTGACGCACAGTTTATCCCCCCATCATATTGTCTCTTGTTCACTTGTGAAGATGTCAGATAAGAGCTTACCAGGTAATATAAGTTATAAAAATATTCTCTCTCAGACATCCTTCCCAAAACACTCGACAATGAAATGTTGACTTGTCTGATAGCTGATTCATACAATGGTTAAACTAACTGACACATCCTGTTAACATTCTTCTGACTAATTGACACACTTATCCACATATAATTAGCATGTCTCACAAACTAAGTATGCAGAGACATTCATTGGCAAAAAAACTATGCTGAGTAAATGTTACTTTTTAATGCTTTTCAGAATGTTTTAAAAAGAAATATTTCAATAACTATAAAAATGCCTAATGGTTGAAATGAGAATAAGATATGATTGTCATCCTAAATGAGGAATGTTAATCAGGGTTAAGATATTTTAATGTCCTAAATTTCATGTAACAGATTGAGACATGGGATAAATTGGGTTAATACTCTAATATTTTGAAAGTCTCCATTTAACCACAACGAATGCTGCCTTTAAAATTATTGTTTGATTGGACAATATTCAAATTATTTTGGGGAAAAAATATTCAAGGGTAACTTAAAATAATGCTTGAATTGCAATTCTTGTTCAGATTTACGAGAACAAAGAAAGTAAAAGTAATCATAAAGTAAGAATTTTAATAATAACAATACAGGATTTAACTTAAGTCTAATTGGCATGAGATAGCTTAAATAATGGCTAGATGATATTCCATTTCCATGGGTCCTTTCCGCTGTTTTTAAATGGCTATCTCAAAATTTATTATTATTATTATTATTTAGGTGGTTTTATATAGCTCACTGGGCTTCACATAAAAATTAGCAATTACAGAAAAGTATACAAATAAAAACAACAAATGGTAGAAGGCTTGACCTCACCCACTCAAGTACTATCTACCCCTGTCTAGCCATGGACAGCACCTAGCAGCATCGAGCGTTTTTTATTAGTAATATTAGTTAATGAAATATTCCTGTTCAAAATCATTTCTGTATTGTTAATAAAATATCATATGTTATGTATGACTAAAAGATCAACTATATTACACACAGTTTGGCTTAGTTTGACTATAACTATTTTTAAACAACTGATTCACTGTGATCTACTATAATTTTGTTGTTTTTTAATTACTTTCTCTAAGAGTGTTTTCATAGTGTCACAGCTTTCTAGCCAATTACAGAACTACTTTGAGCTAATAAAAACTCACCCATTATTTAAACTACTAACTTTAAATGCATACCTTACCCTAAATTATTATAAACTTGTTAAACTGTTCTATAAGGCCTAACGTGGCGTACATTTAAAAAAAAATAGTTTAGCTTAGATTTAGATTGTGGGACTAATCTTAGAATAGTAGTGGTGCATAACGATAGCATTATAACTAAGCCTCAATTTCATTGGTCCTTTAATTCCAGTATAAACTAACATACGCTGTCTTTTTGTATTTAACTATAAAATATTTTATCATAAATATGAATAATAAATGCTTCTATCATAATTATAGGCCAGTATGTGCACTAAACCTGCAAATGCGACTACACAAGGGAAGAGGGTAATCACAGGTCTTCTAGATATTCCTGGCATTCCTGCATATCTAAGAGACATAGTAAAGTTGCTATGCTCAATTTTGCACCAGGCTTTACATTTTTTATTTGTTTATCACTAGTCAATAAGGTCAAGGTCAAAATGAATACACTAGGTATCAATGAAATTAAGTGAGAGAGAATAACCAACGTTCATTGTTTGAAATTTTTATTAAGTTAGTAGAACTATTCCTCGACTTATGCATCTTTCATGGAGAGAGGGCCACAGAGTTTTCAGTGGCCTAGAATGAGAAAGTGGTAGTTGTTTCTAGTCGAGGTGCCATTACTTTACAGAAGTGTATAGAAAGATATATCATTCCAGGCTCACTGATTGGGCTAATCTGAAGAGAAAGCACCCTGACTTCATTGTCCCTGGTTCCGATAGGGTAAAAACCCTGGTTCCGATAGGGTCAAAACCCAGGTTTGGGATAAGTTTAGGGTTCAGGTTAGGTTTAGGGACAGATTTAGGGGTTCAGGTTAGGTTTAAGGATAATTTAGGACATAAGTTTGTTGGTCGCCATAACCAAGATGGCGGCCATGATAAAAAAAACAACGCAGTGCTATCTCTTCACATTTACCACTGATTGTATCGGACAGCTTATGCTAACATAAACCATATCAGACGTGGAATATATGAACACTCTGCTGCAATGCATTAACAAAATGTTGATTATCCAAATCATGCAAATGATACTAGTTTCCACACACAGAATGTTGAAAACACATGGATGTGCACATAGCGCAAACTGAAAAGACAGTTTGGCACAAGCTGCAATCTTTTCCTTTCCTATTTGTATGAATTTATGTTCCGCAACCGTTTTTGAGGAGATAATAGATAGTCTATAGGCCCCTATTCTATTATCTTTTCATTTTCATACCTAATTTGATCATACAATGATACATTAAGTTGTGTAATTTTAAATTTTTTTTTTTTTCACTTTTCTGATTTTTTCTTGGATTATTTATAAAAAAACATTTCCATCCATTCGGATCAATAAAAGAATTTTATTTTATCTTAATGAAGCAATAACCTTTTAATTAACTTATTAAGTAAGCTATTTAATCTAATCCTAGTTACGATTGCCTGGACTTATTTTCCAGGGATTGACTTCCCATTGTTTATTTTTACTAAATTATTTTAGGGATCGATTTAGGGTTCAGGTTAGGCATAGGGATCGATTTAGGGTTCAGGTTAGGAATAAGGATCGATTTAAGGTTTCAGGTTAGGCATACTAGATACTTTGATGAAACAAGGGAGACTACTATTTTTTTGTATCGGAAATGGCTGTCGGCGCCGAAAAATCCGAGTTTTTAATTTTCCGATGTGTGTGTCTATTTATTATTAAATTAGTTCTTTCCACATATATTTGAGTTCCGTTTCCGGCCTTATAATTTGGAAGACATCTTGGCCTACATTTCTAGCCAGCTATTTTGCTTTTTTCAATCGACCTTTATTTTGAAAATCTTTGGTATATATAAGGCATCTTTGCATACAAAATTTTTTGTGAAATAATAATATAAGGTCCTTTTTGATTAAATCTGTATGAGCATTAGATATTGATCTATATCTGTGCCAAGTTTCATTGATGTAGGTCGTGTCTCACGTTTGTTACACTTGTCACAGTGACCCATATCACCATAAGGTGGCTCAGCCTAATTTCGACATGGCGTGGGCCACGCCCCCTTTTTAATGGCGGAAGTTGCCGATACTTAGGAAATATTTAATTATTACCACTATATACATCAAAATATTTTATATTTTGTGTTTCAGAATGCATTTTGAAGACATTTAAACTGGAAATGTTTTAATTTGAGCTTTAAAAACCCTGCAGAGTCCATATTATAAATGATCAGAATTTTCCCTGTGCAACACGTTGTCATTGGCAACCATTCACAGCCACTTGCATAACGGCTACGTCGTAGTACTATCTCAGAGTTTCATTCATAAGAGTTTGCCGTGTGCAAAAGCTATTAAACCATTGGTCAGGGAAAGCTTTTATTAATTATTCATGTGCCAAAGTTGAAAGTTTAAAATAAGTCGACCCTAAACAGTATTTTAGTGATAGGGAATGCGTTGCCTTATATAAACTATATAGTCATTGCGCATGACGCGATCAGTGGAATGAGGTCACAGAATGTGGAGATGCAGTCCATGTTAAAAAATGACAAACCAAGTCGTACTTTAAAAATTCATAACTTTAAAACTACAACAACTAAAAATATGATTTTGGTGTTATAATTCTGTTTAAAATTAGCTCTATTCAACTGTGCCATTGGTTTATTTTTAAAAAATGTTTACATTTTTGACCAAAGTATCTAGGCATACGGATCGATTTAGGGTTCAGGTTAGGCATAGGGATGACTTCACATGACGTGTTGACCAAGATGGCGGCCATTGAGAAAATAGTGGCAATCCTAGTCAAAATTTACGGCTATTTAATATATACTATAGCAAGACCTCAAGTGGTAACTATGTAACTATGTTTTTTTTTTATGTTTCTACTTAGTTCAATCTGTGAGGCCTGTGTGAGGAAGGAATAATTGCACTCTACGTAGGACTAACTAATAAACTTATACTAAACTTAAAAGTAAAATAAGTTATATAATTATTTCAGTCAGTCTCTCACTGATACTGACTGAGTCAAGTCATCAGTCAGGCTGAGTCAGGGTAGCTGAGTATTTTATTTTTTTTTTAAAGTCGACTGAAGTCAATAATATAGATATAGTTACTTACATATCAAAAACATGTTATTCCTCAAGATATTTACGAAAGGTTTTTATTGAAAAATTGGACCTATGTTATAGTAAAAAGTCAAATTGCGTATCTATCTCAATGTTCATATGAAAGAAAGGGGGTTGTGCTTCCCTTGTTTATTTTTTTCTACTCTTGGACTTCCGTCTTCAAGTACTTCCTTTTTGTCAAGTCTTATGGGAAAAATTACGGTGTTTATTTTAAAATATATAATAACGGTCACAAAATGTTTTTAGATCATGATATTTTATCATTAGTGAAAGCTCCATTTGAATTATCCCAGTCAATGTTAGCATGATTTTACTTTCATGCTTGCTATAAAAAGGCATCAAAAAGACATAGTTATAGTAAAATACGTGAAAACTGTTTAGGTTAATATAAGTGCTTTTAAACAAGCTTAACAACATAAATTACCGATTTGAAATGAAAAAATAAATTATAAATTGCATCCGAGTCAAAATTATATAAACTAAAGGGTCTTCCATAAACGAATTACAAGTCTGGGGACAGGAGTGGGGGCTCCTTTAAATTTTGAAGATGTAAGATAACAGGGATTAATTTGTGCTATAAATTAGTGACAATTTGCTAAGGTTGGGAAATCGGTTAAACTAACGGAATGTCATTAGAGGGGTCACCTAATTACATTGGTTTTAGTGTAATATTAGTTTATTATAAGACAGATTTTAGTAAAAATGTTATCATTTTATCATTGCCTGTATTAAATCCAAGATATGTCCAAATAAAGTTACCCAGCTTTGTCACCAATCATAGGAAGGTAATATGGGTCGAATAGATATAGGAACAAATATAGGGAAACGCAAACGAAAAGGAAATGATGTTGGATTGTGGGGCAGCAAAAGTGATATAGGCCTACAACAGGTAGAAACCCAGGGGCAGGCGGCACACCTGTCGACCAAGACTGAGATGGATTGATGATGTAGAGAAAGGCTTACACCATGGAAAGCCATCAATAGATCCGAATGGAACGATGTTGTGCAGTAGGACACATGGCTGTAGCACCACTGACGATGATAACGATGCAGATGAAAATGTTATGAATTAGATACAAGTGCCAGAAATAAAATAGCACATAATAATAATATCTCTCAATTAACCCAAATAAAAATAATGTAATAACCAGTCAATTTTAAGATTAAAATTTTAATAGAGGAAACAAGATTGTTGACGTCAAGTAATCTAAGCCCCCCCCCCTCCTCCCCCTTGTCAACAACTATCAAACATTTCCACCACCCCACCCCCATCTTGTTAACGTAATTAATGGACGCCCCCTTATTTCTTTATATTTTGTATCTGAGCAATATACAAATAATTTCAAACTGAGCTACTGCATGGGTGGATCAATCGCTACAAGTGTGTGGACAAAATTTTGAAAATCCATGCTTCTCACGTGGACAGCTGTTTATGTTGCCTGCTCACGTGTCGAAAAACCTTCTAATTTTTTTGTGTACGCACCAGACGGAAAAATAATTTCTATATTTAAAAATTACTTTAAAAAACGTAATTGAAACACAAACACTTTTTTTTCTTTGAGTGGCATTGCATCGCATGCCGGGTTCTCACTAGTGTAAAAATAACAAGATAGTAGCCCTTATAATTTTTTTTTTCGTTAAGTAGTTGTTACTTTCCGGTTCAATTAAGTTAACTTTTATTTTCGTTTTCGATGTCATTTCCTGTAACATGGACGTCAAGAGATGCGATGGATTGGTAAACAAAACAAAAAAAAAACAAAAATGGCAAAGATTTTCAGAAATTACGGCTTACCTATTTGTCCCAAATTACTTATAATATAAATGCGTATGGCCCCTTTATTTTAAATGCTTGGGCCGCGACTTATGCCATACAAACATTAGTCATTAGGTCAAACATGTATGAGTATGATTAGTATGAATATGAAACAAACAAATTTTTAGTTTCACGAAACAGTCACAACAGACTCATTTCAGAATCAGATAACAGGACAACACCTTCATTTTTTGATATTTTTCAGCTCTGTATTTTTATTTTAGTCCTATATTTATAACTATGAAGCATGTATGTTAATTTTTAAGTTCATGATTATGTTTGTTAAATTGTCAGCTCTAGGCCTGGGCTGGGGTCCTGCGCTATATAAAAACACCAATAATAATAATAATAATAATAGGTATGGAACCCAATAGCAAGGCATGGTAATTTGAATGATCAATCTAATCACAAAATTAAGTTAAATAGCTCAGTTCAGTTGACAAGTTTCAAGTAGGCCTACCTAAAGATTAAATTAGACAGTAGTAGAAGGCTGAGAATTAGTCAATTAATAAAAGTAAGTCCCATTTCTTAATTAGCACTGATTCATAGTCAGTAGGTTTAAATTAGGTAGGCCTACTTGCTGCTGACTAGGAGTGGTGTCGAACTATTGTAGATGTAAAATAACACATTTTAGACTTTATTAAATTTTTTTATTTTTAAAACTGTCTCCTTTTACCAAAAATGACCATAATTTTGGTGAAGGCTAGCTACTTAACTTACTTCTTCTAGGCATTTTCAATTTTAAAGCACTAACTATTTTCTTAATGAATACCATTATTTTAATAATTATATTTTAACTAATAATAATAACAAAAAGGATGGAATAAAGACATGCTGCATTACTTTTTCACTAGCTACTTAAACTCTACAATTTTATCATTTGCAGGGTACCAGTATAATGTCATCCATGCTGTGTACTTTTATTCCTACTTATCCTTAATTGGGTATGAGATCTTAACAGCATGTGATCTAAATTTGTCTTCTACCAAAAGTGTCTTAAAACCAATGTATTTGAGTGCCATGTATTTTCAGGTAAATGAAAGAAAGCCAACCATGAGTGAAAAATTAAATAACATAAGATTTCAATGTCTAGCTTATAGGAACTTGCTTTTTAAATATGATTTTGTAATATTTCCTCATAAGATTTTTATTTTCACAAATTTTTATTTAACCACTTCGATACCCATGACGTCGATGCGACGTCACGATCACCCACTTTCAATTACCAAGGATGTCACCTTGTCAGCATAACAAAGAGGCAAAGAACTTTTCTGAAATAGGGGGGGGGGGGGGGGGGGGGGGGGCCATCCCCGAAAACCAGCGGTTATGAAGGGGTTAATGAAAAGCTTGAAATTAAAATAATTTAAAAATTCAAATTTATAAAGTTTAAATATCATCATGAAACATTTTTTATTTGAATGACTGGGTTTTTAATTTTATTTATCGATTTCAAGACATTTAATAAAAACATTGTGTAGATACATTTAAGATCAAATTGTAATAAATATTCTCTTTTTCCAGATTCATTAAAAAATGAAAATGCAGATCCCAGAAATAAAGCGGCTCACAGCTCTAACTGCTAAACCTTGGAAAGCTACTGATAGGGTTTTCCATGGAGCTATTTACATCGACCAACTGCCATCATATGAAACTCTATTTCAGGATATCTTTTTGAAAAACCAACTCGTTATTGTGGGACCTGAAGCCACATCTGATTGGACCAGTCTTAAAGACTGGGTTCTAGAGGATGGCAGCCCAAATTTTCATTTTCTCATGGAAAATTTTGGTAAACAAATCTTAAATTCAGTTCTCTTAAAATTCATGATACAATTTTAACATTGTTACAAGAAGGAAAAAAAAAATTATAATTTCAAAGCTTGTAACCCAATTGCATTGACTTTTATAACTGCAACAAAAGAGTAGAATGGAAAATGAAATATAAAATATATAAATGAAAGTACAGAGTGGGCCCTTTTAGCCAGTGGTCTTGGAAGGAAGAAAAGTTACTAAAATAACCCATTTTCCCCTTAAATGCATCTCACTCATTTAAATAAATCTAATCAATATTTTAAATGAACCAATGTAACTCGAAATTATATTACATTTACATTGAAAGAAACTTTTGATTTAACTTGCAATTAAAATAATATTATTAACGAAAAAATATATTAAGTAACTCATGTCATAAGAGTTTTGTAATTTTTAATGAGCGAAAACAATAATAATGATTAATACATGATGCCAAAATAACCTTTAAGACCTTATGTTGTACACTATCTTATTCAATTTGGATACAACTACTGCAAATGCAGTTTTTAATTTTTTTTAGAATAATTGTTTTTAAAAAATCATTGAAAAAAAAATGGGATAAATAAGCACTCAGTTTTGAACCCTCACTTAGCTTTCTTAAAGTTCAAATCTTGACCCACATCCATTCACATAGTTAGGGTTAGTACAGCCCTGGCCAGGCTGAGCTGTTTGCCAACCCCCTTCCACAAAAGAATCCTGGAGTTGTCAGAAAATGTTGACCCCTAAATATAAAGGAAAAAAATGCTGCCCCCTCCACACCCCCCATCCCTATGTCACTGCTCACATCAGTATTTTATTTGCTAATAAGTATTATGCTTTTATCAGGAGAGACCACTGCACCCGTTGCAGATTGCAATGCACAAGAGTTCTCTGCCCACCCCAAGACAGAAATGACAGTCAAGAACTTTTTACTTTATTGGCAAGAACTCAGGTTGCAAGGTTATCCAATAGATGGGAAATGTCTCTACCTGAAAGACTGGCACTTTGCTAAGTATGTTTTTATAATTCTAAATTTGGCATTGCTCAATTTAACCCAGGGTCATCAAAACCTAATCCAAATAGTCATTGTTCATTTCATTTTTTGGATTAAAAAAAAAAGAGGATGAGGTAAAACTAGTAATAGAACAGACTGAAGTTGTATACAGGCATTGCCTTCCTTCTTCAGGTTTTATTTTTGCTGTTGAAGTAAGACTTTTTGGCTAAAACCTCCACTTTCTTGTATCGTCCAACTTCTGGTTTTCCTCTACCCTTTTAATACTTCTTGTTGCTTCACCCTTTAGCATTTCTCTTATAAGTTTTTTGGTTGGTATATGTTTATCAGTTCATAGCAGCCATTTTTAACACATGTGTTGTCATTTAACTGTTGAGGAGCATATTTTATAATAATCAGGCGAGTGTGAAATTTATGCTATATTACCCTACAAAGTACAGGACTTTGAATGTTATCATCTTATCTAGAAGGCCAGAATATTATGATCTAATCTAGAAGGCCAGAATGTCATCATCTAATCTAATAGTTTTCATCTAATCTAGCAGGCCAGAATGTTATTATCTAATCTAGCAGGCCAGAATGTTATCATCTAACTAGTAGGCCAGAATGTTATCATCTAATCTAGAAGGCCAGAATGTTATCATCTAATCTAGCAGGCCAGAATGTTATCATCTAACTAGTAGGCCAGAATGTTATCATCTAACTAGTAGGCCAGAATGTTATCATCTAATCTAGTAGGCCAGAATGTTATCATCTAACTAGTAGGCCAGAATGTTATCATCTAATCTAGCAGGCCAGAATATTATCATCTGATCTGGAAGGCCAGAATGTCATCATCTCATCTAATAGTTTTCATCTAATCTAGCAGGCCAGAATGTTATCATCTAATCTAGCAGGCCAGAATGTTATCATCTAATCTAGCAGGCCAGAATGTTATCATCTAATCTAGCAGGCCAGAATGTCATCATCTTATCTAGAAGGCCAGCATGTTATCATCTTATCTAGTAGGCCAGAATGTTATCCTCTTATCTAGAAGGCCAGCATGTTATCATCTAATCTAGTAGGCCAGAATATTATCATCTGATCTGGAAGGCCAGAATGTCATCATCTCATCTAATAGTTTTCATCTAATCTAGCAGGCCAGAATGTTATCATCTAATCTAGAAGGCCAGAATGTTATCATCTAATCTAGAAGGCCAGAATGTTATCATCTAATCTAGTATGCCAGATTGTGATCTTCATCAAAATGACCCAAAATAAATTATTCTTGAATGATGTCTTAGACATTTAGCTTTTAGAAAATTTAGTGTGTCACAAGTAAGAGAGTTTAAAATCTGCTGCTTTCAATTGATATATTCAATGTTGTTTTTTTTTTGTTGTAAATATTTACTACTGACTGCCACTTTCAACACTAGCAACCTATATTTGATTTCATGGCTTGTACTCTATGTTCCGGCTTTTATGTTATTAACACTATTTTTGTCTCTGGTAATTCCTCAGATCCTTACAATGGTTTATTTTCTCCTGGTTTGATTTTAATGAGTTTAACAGTCCTAAAAAAGTAAAACAATTGAAAAAGCAACTTCACATCAAATAAGATTATTTTTTTGATAATGATATTAAATTAATTTTTGGTGAGAATATGGTCATCAGAGAATCGGTCATTGAAAAAGAACTATTTTTCTTTTGTTTTTCAGATATTTTCCATCTTACAATGCTTACAGACCTCCAGCATTCCTTTGTTCTGATTGGATGAATGAATTCTGGGACGTGAGGGATGATATCGTCGATGATGATGACTACAGGTTTGTCTATATGGGTCCCAAAAACTCTTGGACACCGCTCCATGCAGATGTCTTGCACTCTTACAGTTGGTCGGCAAACATTTGTGGATTAAAGAAGTGGATCTTCTTTCCACCAGGTAACGGATAAAATTTTTTACAGTCTTGTCAGAAATAAAACAAAAAACTTGCTGTCCTGTCCTTTTTTTTTATGTATCAGGAATATTGTTTATACTGACTCAGCAATAGTTTTAATGTATCAGGAATATTGTTTATACTGACTCAGCAATAGTTTTAATGTATCAGGAATATTGTTTATACTGACTCAGCAATAGTTTTAATGTATCAGGAATATTGTTTATACTGACTCAGCAATAGTTTTAATGTATCAGGAATATTGTTTATACTGACTCAGCAATAGTTTTAATGTATCAGGAATATTGTTTATTCTGACTCAGCAATAGTTTTAATGTATCAGGAATATTGTTTATTCTGACTCAGCAATAGTTTTAATGTATCAGGAATATTGTTTATTCTGACTCAGCTATCATGTTTTTTTTTGGTACACTTAGATACAAAAATCCTTCTCTTAAAAAAAATATGAGATGTGTATTTTGAAAACAAAAAATAGTCAAATGTAATACAATGATATAAAAAAATATATATCTCTTCTACATGCTAATGCTAGCCACTTGGACTTTACAAATTATTGGCAAATGAAAAAATGCTGTTGAAATACTATGTTTCCGAATACTGACACTTACCATCTTTTTTTTGTGTATACCACAATGACTAAAGTAGTTGGGGTCATTTTAAGAAGTTCAGTGGTGTATTTAATGGATCCTATTTAGGGACAAGATGAACATTAACATTGAACTAGGAGATTCTATAATGTTTTAAATTAATTGTTACAAGGGATCATAAAATGGTATTCTTCCTAAGTACGAATTTTAAAATGAAAAGTATTCTTTTACACAAAGCAAGTACCCAAAAAACTGTCTATGTAAAATGTTTGAAGATTGACTTGAGCATTGTCAAATTTTACATGATTTCTACAAAAAATCATTTATTATTATTATTATTCATGAAATAAAATGTTCTGATCTCAGCCAATATTTATCTTACCAGGCTCAGAGAAGAAGCTCAAAGACAAACATGAACACCTGGCCTTTGACCTACGATCTCAAGAGCTTTATGACCCTGATAAATATCCTGATGCTGCCAGTGTTGTGGACAATGCGATCACCGTACTACAGAACCCAGGGGAGATCATTTTCATACCAAGCGGATGGTATCACCAAGTATTCAACTTAGTGAGAATCATTTTAAGTTTGTGTGTCCTTAAAAGTAGTGGTGGGGGAACTGTGGCTCGTGAGTCAATTTTGGCTCTTGTGTGTCCTTTAAAGCAGGGGGGTGAATTATGGCTCATGACATAATTGTGGCTCTTTCGTGTCCTTAACTCATTCATTGCGGCAGTACTACTTCGGTACTTAATTTATTTTCCTGAGGAAAGGGAAGCAACTCAGTTTTGAAATTGATTTACATTTTTAAAATTTAAAATATTTTTTAAGCTGCTAAATAATAATAAATGTTAATGAAATAATGCTTAACAAAAAATATAACATTAGCGGCGAAAAAATAATGAACAATGGCCAAAAAATTGATTTTTGGCACCTCGGGCGAACACATGCTACATATAGATGCCCTGTTCTAAAGCACACATAGTTTTAAAGTGAAACAAGATAAAAACTTTCGGTTTTTTAAATTAAAATCACACAGAAATCACGCCATAGCAGGAAGTCTCGAGGGACGCTAGATTTCATTGCTATTTTTAACTAAAAATAAGAGAGGTGTGTCGCTATGCGCCGGGACGCATTTGGACGCATCAGGAGAAAGCCCTTTAAGGACGCATTTAGTCGGGAATGAGTTAAAAGCAAGGGTGGGTGAACTATGACTCGTGAGCCGATTGTGGCTCATGCCTCCATTTTGAATGGCTCGCGCTCCCTTAAAATTATTAAAATAATAATAAAAATGAAGGTGTAATTTAAATTTTTGATTGAAGATGTTACAACAATATGGGTTTGTTTGGCTTTTCTGGTGATTGAAGGTGTTACAACAATGTGGGTTTGTTTGGCTTTTCTGGTGATTGAAGGTGTTACAACAATGTGGGTTTGTTTGGCTTTTCTGGTGATTGAAGGTGTTACAACAATATGGGTTTGTTTGGCTTTTCTGGTGATTGAAGGTGTTACAACAATATGGGTTTGTTTGGCTTTTCTGGTGATTGAAGATGTTACAACAATATGGGTTTGTTTGGCTTTTCTGGTGATTGAAGGTGTTACAACAATGTGGGTTTGTTTGGCTTTTCTGGTGATTGAAGATGTTACAACACTATGGGTTTGTTTGGCTTTTCTGGTGATTGAAGGTGTTACAACAATATGGGTTTGTTTGGCTTTTCTGGTGATTGAAGATGTTACAACACTATGGGTTTGTTTGGCTTTTCTGGTGATTGAAGGTGTTACAACAATATGGGTTTGTTTGGCTTTTCTGGTGATTGAAGGTGTTACAACAATATGGGTTTGTTTGGCTTTTCTGGTGATTGAAGATGTTACAACAATATGGGTTTGTTTGGCTTTTCTGGTGATTGAAGGTGTTACAACAATGTGGGTTTGTTTGGCTTTTCTGGTGATTGAAGATGTTACAACACTATGGGTTTGTTTGGCTTTTCTGGTGATTGAAGGTGTTACAACAATATGGGTTTGTTTGGCTTTTCTGGTGATTGAAGATGTTACAACACTATGGGTTTGTTTGGCTTTTCTGGTGATTGAAGGTGTTACAACAATATGGGTTTGTTTGGCTTTTCTGGTGATTGAAGGTGTTACAACAATATGGGTTTGTTTGGCTTTTCTGGTGATTGAAGATGTTACAACACTATGGGTTTGTTTGGCTTTTCTGGTGATTGAATGTGTTACAACAATATGGGTTTGTTTGGCTTTTCTGGTGATTGAAGGTGTTACAACACTATGGGTTTGTTTGGCTTTTCTGGTGATTGAATGTGTTACAACAATGTGGGTTTGTTTGGCTTTTCTGGTGATTGAAGGTGTTACAGCAATATGGGTTTGTTTGGCTTTTCTGGTGATTGAAGGTGTTACAACAATGTGGGTTTGTTTGGCTTTTCTGGTGATTGAAGGTGTTACAACAATATGGGTTTGTTTGGCTTTTCTGGTGATTGAAGGTGTTACAACAATATGGGTTTGTTTGGCTTTTCTGGTGATTGAAGACAATGTGGGTTTGTTTGGCTTTTCTGGTGATTGAAGGTGTTACAACAATATGGGTTTGTTTGGCTTTTCTGGTGATTGAAGGTGTTACAACAATATGGGTTTGTTTGGCTTTTCTGGTGATTGAAGGTGTTACAACAATATGGGTTTGTTTGGCTTTTCTGGTGATTGAAGGTGTTACAACAATATGGGTTTGTTTGGCTTTTCTGGTGATTGAAGGTGTTACAACAATATGGGTTTGTTTGGCTTTTCTGGTGATTGAAGGTGTTACAACAATATGGGTTTGTTTGGCTTTTCTGGTGATTGAAGGTGTTACAACAATGTGGGTTTGTTTGGCTTTTCTGGTGAATTAATAAATTCTCTATAATTTGGATAAAATCCCCCCCCCCCCTTTTCCACCCCTGCTATCACCATTTGTGAGTCTGTTATTTCTTGAATCTGGCATGCAGCTACATAAGTTTTGCTCACCCCTGCTTTAAAGGATGAGAAAAATCCTTCTTTTTTCTTTTTTTTTGTATAGTTCTGTGTCCCTTTCAAGGGGTGCAGTGGGATGTACTACAACAGGGACTGTTTTACAACTGGGACTGATCCTGTCTCCAGCCTTATGAATTTAAGCAGAGTTTAATATTGCAGGTGTAATCAGAGTAATGAAGACCATTAACATTTCAAACACTTTCAGATCTGACCTTATGTTTCATTTGCTGCTGTAACTCTGACCTGTTTTATCTAGTTTATAACCTATTGGTCATATATAAATATTCTAGAGTTTGATGAAATGATAAAAATGTTGAAAATAAAACATGAACTCCTTGACATGCCTTAAGCCAGTCTCCCAAGTATTATTTCTCTTACCTTATTTCAGGAGGACACAATATCTATCAATCACAACTGGATCAATGGCTGCAGCTCCCACTTGTGCTGGGAGTATGTCAAGAGCAGACTGACCGCTGTCCAGAAGGAGATATCAGATTGTAACCAAATGGAGGGATGGGATGAACAGTGCCAGGTGGGTTGTGAACAGTGCCAGGTGGGTTGTGAACAGTGCCAGGTGGGTTGTGAACAGTGCCTGGTGGGTTGTGAACAGTGCCAGGTGGGTTGTGAACAGTGCCAGGTGGGTTGTGGACAGTACCAGGTGGGTTGTGAACAGTGCCAGATGGGTTGGTTTTAGTGCCATATGATTTGAGGAAGTCTTATTTAACAATCTTGTGGTGCAACCGCCCTCCCCCTCCCAACCACTGCAGGGGGGCAACCGCCCATCCATCACAGGGGGCAAACACCCTCTCCCCTCCCAACCACCGCAGGGAGGGACATGAGATATTTTGCTTTAAATGCAATAGATAAATTGTAACATTTTATGACATCTTTTAAAGAAGTGTTTGATTAGAAAATGAAATATATATAGCAAACATATGGTATGTCATTGGCTGTATATATGTTGTTGGTCAGTCAGGAGTTGACCATGACCACTTTTATCATCAGATTTGTGCTGATTCTGTCTGTGGGTGCGCAGATGGCTAATGAGGCCGATTCTGGCACAAAATTCTCTTGTGCAGTAGGTGCAGGGGAATAATGAGGCATCTCCGGTAGCAGAGTCAGACCGGGCCTTCCTGGCATGTCTCATGGGCTCTGCAGCCGCTGTTCTGCCAGCTTCATGCTCATGCTGTATGGAGCTCTTGTGTAAAGTGGAACGCCATGATGTTCGATCCTTTGCTTTTTTCTCCCACGTGTCTGGATTTATGTCAAACATTTTCAGTGAGGCTTCGAGGTTGTCTTTAAAACGGTTTCTTCTGTCCGCCAGCAGACCGCTTTCCTTGTTCGAGCTCACCATAGAACATTCTTTTTGGCAGATAGTCGTCTGACATTCTCACAACATGACCCATCCAGCGCTGGGACTTCATTAAGATGGTAAAGGGGAGACCTGCCTGTGTGAGCACCTCAGTGTCTGGGACTCTGCCCTGCCATTTAAATCAGCTGTATATTTTATAATTCATTGCTAAGGCCTGATGATAAGAAGAAAAATTTCTCACAAATTAACCTACCAAATATAATATATTTATACAAAGCAGTAAATGAAATTGCTTCTAACAAGTCCTCAAACTTTGGAAAACGAAACATTAATACAAATTAAGTTTTGATGGAAATTTCTTTGTTCCATCACTGACCCATAAACTGGCCATTGAAAACACTGACCCAATGACTGGCTGTTAAACACACTGACCCATAGACTTTTAAAAACACTGACCCTTAGACTGGCTGTTAGAAAAACTGACCCATAGACTGTTAAAAACACTGACCCATAGACTGACTGTTGAAAACACTGACCCATAGACTGATTATTGAAAACACTGACCCATAGCCTGACTGTTAAAAACACTGACCCATAGACTGTTAAAAACACTGACCCATAGCCTGGCTGTTAAAAACACTGACCCATAGACTGTTAAAAACACTGACCCATAGCCTGGCTGTTAAAAACACTGACCCATAGACTGTTAAATACACTGACCCATAGCCTGACTGTTAAAAACACTGACCCATAGACTGTCAAAAACACTGACCCTCAGACTGGCTGATAAAAACACTGACCCATAGCCTGGCTGTTAAAAACACTGACCCATAGACTGTTAAAAACACTGACCCATAGCCTGGCTGTTAAAAACACTGACCCATAGACTGTTAAAAACACTGACCCATAGCCTGACTGTTAAAAACACTGACCCATAGACTGTTAAAAACACTGACCCTTAGACTGGCTGTTAAAAACACTGACCCATAGCCTGACTGTTAAAAACACTGACCCATAGACTGGCTGTTAAAAACACTGACCCATAGCCTGACTGTTAAAAACACTGACCCATAGACTGTTAAAAACACTGACCCATAGACTGGCTGCTCAAAACACTGACCCACAGACTAGGTGTTTATAACCACTGAAACATAGCAAATAAAGCTAAGACATCTCAAGCTCCGTTCTTTAAAAAGGATTATGAGTCCACCCCAACCATACTTACTAGACTAGAGATCTCTGTCAGATTTTGTGAAGCTTCCTCACATTAATAAGTTTTTGTGTAATTTAATTTTAATATCACTTTGTTTTAGATGATTCTGAAAGCTGACAGTGGCGTTGACTTTGTGGATTTTTACAACTTCCTGGCCACAATAGCCGAACACAGACTGAAAGCCTTAAGTCAGTATGTGGAGGAGGTCATCGCACCAGGCCTTTTGGTGGACATCCATATCAAGGATACTCCCTTATCAGGTGACCAGATGCATTGGTCAGTTCTCAAGGATGGCTCATCTTGCAAACATAAACACTTTGAAAACACTGCCTGTTGCTGGTGCAATCAGTTAGATTTTCCTGGGGGAAAAGATGTGCTGAGTTTTATAATAGTTGATCCTTTACTTTGCAATTTAAGCTGTGACCTAGTCCAGAAGAAGGAAGATAGTCATTTAGGCTGTGACCTAGTTGAGGAGAAAGAATCTAGTCATTTAAGCTGTGACCTAGTTGAGGAGAAAGAAGCTAGTCATTTGAGCTGTGACCTAGTACAGAAGAAGGACGCTAGTCATTTAAGCTGTGACCTAGTCCAGGAGAAGGGACCTTGTGATTGCTTCAAGGGTCATAGTTCTGATGTTCCAATTTATGATGACAAGGTTAAAGTCCACCAAGAATTTGTTGTTGTTTCCCTTTGTGATGGCTGTGATAAAGGTCACCCTGTATTGGTTGCCCCCCTTTGTGATAGTAAGGTCAAAGTTAACATTTCATGTCCTTTACCTTGTTGTGATACCACTAGCCTTAGAAGTGTTTATAGTGCAAGCATCCATTGTTCTGAGCTGTGTCCATGTTTTGAATGTGATTGCAGAATGGTAAAATCAGGATCAGAAAACTTTGTAATGGGATTGTTAGATCACAATTGTAACATTAAAATCCCCAGTGAAGAATTACAATGTTCTGCATTATTATTGGGTGATACCGATCAAAGAGTTGTCCTTGAATTTAACAGATGTTTTGAAAACTTTGATCTCCATGAGCGTTTGTCTGGGGACCGACACTTTGATCAGAGTCTGGAGAATGGTTTCAAGAAAAATGTGTCTTATACTTTTGAGTCTCATGAACACATCAAGAGAATAAACGATATTTTATCCTTTTGTAAAGAAAAGAAAATTTCAGAACACAAATCGACCAATTCAGGGATCCCCCCTGTGTTTTTGTGCCTGTTCAAAGGCACTGTAGTTAATCCGGCCAATGCTCAGAATTTAGAGACCTTGAATGAAATTAAAACCTATCCATCTCATTCTGTTGATGTGGGCAAGGATACGGCTCAGAGTGGCAAAGATGTGAGCTGTCCATCTTTTGAGCCACACAGGCATTGTCCACACTGGGCCCACTGTGGGCCCAACCTGGCCTTGTTTGACCTTTGTCGTGTGGTTGATCTCGTCAGAGACATGCAGGAACAGCCTGAGTTCAAGGCTGCCCTTGGTGACTCTGTTCACTTGGCCAAAGTAAGAGTGGCTCCCTCAGATTTGATGGGCAGAATAGAAGGTGTCATTGAACTAATGAAGCTGACACCAGTCCCTCAGATGTGATGGGCAGGATAGAAGGTGTCATTGAACTAGTGAAGTTGACACCAGTCCCTCAGATTTGATGGGCAGAATAGAAGGTGTCATTGAACTAGTGAAGTTGAAACCAGTCCCTCAGATTTGATGGGCAGGATAGAAGGTGTCATTGAACTAGTGAAGTTGACACCAGTCCCTCAGATTTGATGGGCAGGATAGAAGGTGTCATTGAACTAGTGAAGTTGACACCAGTCCCTCAGATTTGATGGGCAGGATAGAAGGTGTCATTGAACTAGTGAAGTTGACACCAGTCCCTCAGATTTGATGGGCAGGATAGAAGGTGTCATTGAACTAGTGAAGTTGACACCAGTCCCTCAGATTTGATGGGCAGAATAGAAGGTGTCATTGAACTAGTGAAGTTGACACCAGTCCCTCAGATTTGATGGGCAGAATAGAAGGTGTCATTGAACTAGTGAAGCTGACACCAGTCCCTCAGATATGATGGGCAGGATAGAAGGTGTCATTGAACTAGTGAAGTTGACACCAGTCCCTCAGATTTGATGGGCAGGATAGAAGGTGTCATTGAACTAATGAAGCTGACACCAGTCCCTCAGATTTGATGGGCAGGATAGAAGGTGTCATTGAACTAGTGAAGTTGACACCAGTCCCTCAGATTTGATGGGAAGGATAGAAGGTGTCATTGAACTAGTGAAGCTGACACCAGTCCCTCAGATTTAATGGGCAGAATAGAAGGTGTCATTGAACTAGTGAAGTTGACACCAGTCCCTCAGATTTAAGTTTCAAGTTATATTTGTTTATACACAATGTTGTCATCATTTATTTTTGTTTTTGGAAATTGTTTCTTTTTTTCATGTGCGAGTCTTTTTTTCTTAAGTGGCCAGATCAAATCTAAGGGTTTTTCTTCTAACTGTTGATTCTAGATAAAAGCATTTTCTTACAACTGCTGCACTGCTGTGTAACAACGCACAATAATTTAATTTTACTTTTTAAAATAATGATATTCACATTCTATACATACTGCTTCTATGTATATTGCTGATATGCAAATATATTCAGTAGATGCCAGTACACTAGGGATCTGTCTGGACTTAAGGTTTGGTGAACAAAAGTAGCTGACCATTGTATACTAAATGATTTGAAAATTAATACAAAAATGCAGCCTAAAACAAGGGTAACTGATAAGTTTCCCAAAAGCAAGGAAACAAATACTGCAACTTATACTTTCAGTGATATACATTGACAGATAAAAAAATATAACTTTTGAGGTTTTAAGATATAATAAAATTATAAAAATTTTACTGACTGAGATATGTAAACAAATCTGGTATCCACATTCTTAGATTCATGAGTTCTTGACGTAACAGCATAATAAAAAAAGCTTAAGACCAATTTGAAAAATCAGGTTGAGGTGCCTACTTTATGGTTTGTGGTTTCATTACATACACATGTGGTTTTAAATGTTAAGGTGGATCTCGTTGAGGGTAACCTGGCAATTTCTGAACCTGTTATAAGTTTGAAACATTTGGCAAGTCCATGCTGGTTTTTACTGTGAATCATAATTGGTATGTTCTAAACTACAAGTTTAAACATCGCAGTGTCTCAGTGGAGAACATGGCTCTCTTTTTAATGGATTTGTTTCTTACTTTTGTACTTGCCCTAAATAAATGGCGGACCTGATCCATGAGAGGCCCAGCTGTGTGGAATCTACAACATCTATTTATAGATCTACATATTTTAATAACTGGCTTATAATCCACTCTTAGTCATTGAGACCTGTTGAAATTATAAGGGTTGCACTTGTTAATTCTATGACATGAAGGGGGTGAAAATGTCAGGGGGGACATGCTATCATGTGATTTATAGAAGCTATAAGTACAAAGTGCGAGTTTAATGTTTTTTATACATGCATATTAAAGCAGTGGCTAGTATTATTCTTTATAAGTCATCTTCATCTTGAGATTGTGATATTATGATATAATATGTTTAAAATGTCCCTTCTCTGACTCAGATGACATAAGGCATTGTGCATTTTTTAAAATTGTGTTGCCATATGCAGTGGTGAGCATCAAATGTGACTTTTTAAATATTATTTGAAAATGTCAATTATATTTTTTAGATTAACTCATTGTTTTTTAAATACATTTTAACTTGTTATTTTAACATATTTTGTATTGCATTAGGTTACGTTGTTTGTGTTCAAAATATGGAACAGTTTACATGTCAGAGAGATATTTAATATTTTTTTAATCATCCAAGCTTCTGTAATATACTTAAAATAATTGCCGTACTATTTCAAAGAGATTGTTTTAACAGATAATCTTATATCCCAATTGTGATATAGAACAAAGACTTTCTATTGTGGTAAACATTTGTCAGGAAACAAAGTTGTACCATCTTATGTTACTTTGGTTTCTAGGTGAGCTATGAGGCTACACTCAACCAACATTCATTTTGTAGTCTTGCTATAGAGCTACACTCAACCGTCATTCATCTTGTAGTCTTGCTATAGGGCTAGACTCAACCCACATTCATCTTGTAGTCTTGCTATAGGGCTAGACTCAACCCACATTCATCTTGTAGTCTTGCTATAGGGCTACACTCAACCCTCATTCATCTTGTAGTCTTGCTATAGGGCTATACACAAGCCACATTCACCTTGTAGGTTATGATCCTGCTGTAGTGTCAGCTACTTGTATTAATTGACATTACATAATCTTGACATGAAGTTTTTTGTGTGCTGCCATTGAGAACCATTGCAAGATCCCCATGTTGCCATTCATGTTTGAGAACCCCTTCAGTTTACATTCTGATATTTTACGTCTGTGCCACCTATAAAGAGAGATAAATCTTTATGTTTCCTGGAGTTTTTTTCCTCCCTTACTTTATTCATAATATTATGAAATGTTGAGTACCAGTGACTTTTTATATGAAATGAAATCCTTTCTTTTACCCAGCCAACCAATGCCCCATGATTCAACTGAACACTGTGAGTTGGAGATTATATTCTTATCATGTGGTTCATTCATTTGTTTTGTTTGCAAAAAATATATTTATTTTAAAAGTCTTTATATACACACATTTTTTAAATGTTAAACATTCGAAAACAATATCAGAAAAATTCACTTTTTATTTTTGACTTTCAAATTATTTCTTTTATTAGCTTTGAGTGTTTTCACACCATTCAATTCATGACCTAAATGTTTTCTCTGCTGTGATGGCTTTCAAATTTAGGCGCAAATGGCATAATTCTAGTCTTTTGGATAAAAAAATAAAAGTTACATTTCAAATATTAAGACTTGAATTTTGTAATTTTAGTTTCACTTAGGTGGTTGAACATGAAAAATGGAGAGAAAAAATCCTAATCAATGAAATTCACAATGGATCTGCCAATAATGAATTTCTTCTTTTATTTTGACAGCATGTCTGACATTTTGAGCTACGAAGCAAAACAACATTAATTTGAGCTCTATCAGAGATATTTTTATTTTGTCCATTTTTTTCTAAAGTGTTGTTTTTTCAACCCATGGATAGTAATTAGTCCATACATAGAGTTCAAATATTTCAACTTCTCAGTTAAAAGATTTAAGTTACTCCAGTTGATCAAGTTTTGTACTTTTAAAATCTCACAAACCACTTTCAGATATGTGTTTGGCTCTAATTCTGGATAAACTAAATAATGCTGTAGTCCAAGGTGGAAAAAAAGTTATTATGTGACCAGGTTTATTCAATGTACAATGTAATCAATAATCTGGATAATCTTCATTTACATACCAGTAAGTAAATCAAGAAAGTTGTTGTAGAAGCAAAATTAGCAAAGCTCCTGATCCTGAATATCAGACTTAACACTGAAGTGCTTCTCCTTGACTTTACAAAGTTCTTGATCTTACAATGTCCTTGACTTTCATCTTAATGTCCTAGTCCTTGATCATACAACATCCTAGTCATTTATCTTACAATGTTTTAGTTCTTGATCTTACAATGTTCTAGTCCATGATCTTACAATTCCATGTCCTAGTCCATGATCGTACAGTGTTCTATTTCTTGATCTTACAATATCCTAGTCCTTGATTGTACAATTTCATAATCCTTGATCTTGCAATGCCCCAGTCCTTAATATTACAATGTCCTATTCCTTGACCTTACACTGTCTTAATCCTTGATCTTACAATGTCCTATTCATTGATCCTATAAATGACTAAAAATAAAAAGTCATTTTATTAATGTTTTTAATATTTACCTATTCGATGTGTGTACTTAACAAATCGCCCGACCACATCGTATTTGGTATCAACGGAAAGCCTTATTTCTCAGAAATTAGATAAATATGGCTTCCCGTCTCTTACGAAAATTGCCGAACCCTTCAATCGGCGTTGAATCATGGTAAAAAAGGTGTTTTTCTGACCGAGTTATAGGGACACCTCATTTCTCACGCATCAACCTTGAACCTTTAATAAAGCACGCATTTGGATTGGTTACATCTTTGGAAAATTTACGTGTGATCGGTTAGACCGAGCAGCGTGTGCTCTATAAGTATACACTTTTTCAATTTGGTGTCACACCCCTGAGATGGTGTCACCCGGTGCGGTGCGCACCCTTAGCTATGCCACAGACTAGACGCACCAACTACCGTGGTGATAGGACAGTCTACAGTTTTAAGATTTGCACTCAATAAATTCAGGTCTTGAGGACTATATCTTTTTTTGGTTCTATAAAAATGTATGTAGAAAATGGACAATACCCTAAAAGACACAAATAGGTTAAAAATGTCCTAACATTGAATTACACAACAAACAAACAATAAATATATTTATATATAAATATAATAATAATAATAAAGTTCATTTCAAAAACACACACACACATATATATATATATATATATATATATATTTATATATATATATATATGTATATCATATGATTATAGAAAAATAAATGTGATTCAATAAAACTTATTGTCATTTGTAAAAGTCTATGTTTATTTGAAAAGGAATATTTACTACTTACAATAAAGACAGTGCAAATTGCACATATTGAATAATAAATGGATGAGAGATTTATTTAACAAGATTGATTTTCGTTGTACAGGTTGTACTCAACGTGAAATGTAAATGTGGAACAACACGATACCCTTACTCTCATAACATTTGAAATTTAAATAAAGTATCCACCTATCTAAATAAATGTCTTACACTTCAATAACTTTAAAATAGAGCATAATTACATTAAATAAAGTGGTAGTAAGTGCATGCAGCCTTTATAAAAAAATAAAAACTTACAACGTCAACGTTTATATTGGGCTGTCATAAAGTAATTTGAACATCAACCTCACGGATGTTCATAAAACATTCCTTGTTCTTCTTTCTATATTTACAGAGAAAAAGTATGGTTTACATATATGATTAATTCTCCATTTATTAACAATATTTAATTTATAAGTAATTCACAATAGCAAAATGTGTAATTTTGAAAAAAATTATAATAGTCTTCTTTGCCATTATTGAATAAATTAGATCAAGTTGCTTTGTTGTCAAACCCGAATGTTGTCATAACGTTGTACACAAGGCAAGCTGTAAATATTTAAGGAGACTGTTTTGATGGATTCAGCAAAATTTTACTATTGAATCATGGGCTCGCGGCTTTTACAGGTGCCATATAGCAAATAAAATGAGCAAGAGATGACACGATGCCCTGAGAACGAACAAACGGAAGAAAGGCTTGGTAAACTAATAAGTGTTCTCTGTGAACTTTGAACTGCGAATATTTTTAATTAAATTTATTATACATAGACCAAGCGTTGATGCATTTTCTAATGTACATTTTCAGTTCTTATAAAAGTATAGATTATTAACATTTATGAAAAGTACTTAACAATTATAGGCAAAATACACGTCTATATTGAGTTACACTTTTTAATGAGGAATACAATTATTAATTTTAATTAGGAAACATTTACTTGTGACACTAGTTAAAAAGAAATAGTGTTCATATTTCGTAAATCATAAACTCAATACATCGGGATAAACAAGATGAACGGGCATAACTAATTTAATGTAGGAAAATCTGAACTAATTAGATAATATTCGGATAGCATAAAAAATTTTAAAAATAAAACTTTTGTAAATGTAATCTAGAAGTATACTTAACTTTAAATTTTTGTTTTTAAAATCACAATATATCTTCTTTTTCAAAATAGTTAACATTTTTAACAATTATCTGCGTTAAAGCCAAAAATTCTTATTAATTATTTCTTAAGCAAAGTAATTAATAAAAAATAAACTAAAATATTTCATCAAGCTATTATAAAGGAATAGTAGCCTGAATTTATTAAACACACAGAGAGCAAAAGAAATGTATCCTCTAAGTTCTATGAATATTAACTCACTTGAACTGGTTATGAGTTGCAGCCATAATAGACGTGGTATATAGGAATAAGACGTCTGACTGATACTTCACCCCCAACTTACCAAAACCATGACGTTATAGCTTTCACTGGCGCCAGGTTGCTAACAAAATTAGCAACGGTTGATATAATGCCTTGAGAAGAACTTTTTTTCAGTTCTTGATATTCTCTTTCCATGGCCTCGGCTCTTTTCTTTGATTCTTCAGCAGCTGTCACCATGTCTTGCAATCTTTTTATTTCCTGCTGTCGCATTTCTTCTTCTTTCTGCTTCAGTTTTTCTTCTTCTTCTTTCATCCGCTTTCTTTCTTCCTCTTCTTTCTCTTCAAGCTTTTTTCTCGCAATCATTGCTTCTTCTTCCTTCAATCTCATAATTCTTTCATTTTCAAGTTTTTTTTGTGCTTCAAATTCAGCTCTTTCTTTTTCTAATTTTAATGCTTCCTCTTCAATTTTTCGCTTCTCTTCAGCCTGTTGCTTAACCTGGACACACTGGAAGGACTTTTTAGCTATTTCCGAATCTATGGTAGCTTTGGTATTGATCACAGTGGTAATCGCAGACTTAAGAGCATCGGTGTTTTTATCAACCGCAACAATTTTGAGATGCAGCTCCTGAGCTCTAAGGCTGAGTTTCTGAAGATTTTCCAAGTCTTCATCGTCATTTGTACTTCCCATTTTGCTGAAACATGACGTAATAAGAGCAAGTTCTTTCATATATTCATCTTTTAGATACGGTCTTCCTAATTTCCTTATCAAACGCTCTCTTTCCTTTTCAGCTTGTTGGAACTCTTTGTTGGTGTACCGTAGTCCATTTTTGCTAAGTTTGTCAATCATTGTGATGAGATTAGCGACTTGGCGCTCTTGTTTTTCCCGATTTTCCGCTCTGTTATCAAATAGTATCACTCTCTTCTTACATTCTTTAATCAGTTCTTGAAAGTTTGGCTCAACTTGTTGATCAACCCAATCCTCAAAAGAAAGATTATCTCTTTTGACTTCCGGGTCACTTTCAAAACTATCCCCACAGGTTAGAACAAGAATACCATGATTTCTTATAAAATCATTTCCCATAATTTTTTTCAAATGCTTTAGTGTCTCTACATCTTCCTTGGAATATCTACCACCATATTTTATGACATAAAGTATGGCATGGTAGCCATTGGGGTTACCTGCTATAGCAAACTTAACAGCTTCCACTAACTGTTTAACATCGGCCACTTTGTCTATTCGATTGTCACCAAGACCTGGACTGTCCACGACTTTCAAAGCCCGACCTTTGAACTCTGAAAAATCGAGGCAGGCCTCGACCGTCAATGACTGCACGTTAGCATTAGCTGTAAACGCCTTTTTCATGAGAATAGCGTTGCCAGTAGAACTTTTCCCATTACCAGTTCTACCCATCAGTAGGATATCCAGGGAGGAATCGGGAATATTTTCCGACATTTTTCTGGGGAGAAAAAGGCACAGAGACAATCTCCAATGTAGACATTTGATCGCAGACAGTTTCTAATCCATTGGTTGAAATATAACAAGCCAATTAACTGATTATAAAAGGCATTGAATATATTCATTAAATTTTCACACTTAGATTAACTTAAAACTATTTAATTTTTTAACCATACGTTTTGTAATAATTTATCCCCTTAATTTAGAACTCTTGAAAAGCTCAACATATCATATAGCGTTAAAGTACATTTGACTAAATATCGTTTGAAACCGAATTTCTTTATATAATTAGATACAGCTTCTTATATGTTGTCATGCAGGACGTGTTTACGTCACACTTTCCCCATGCCGTGAACTCTGTTGGGCCCCAAGTTGGACTGCGTTTGTGTTGGGCGTGGCCTATTTCTTTTGATCTTTTTTTACCAACAAAAAATAATTAATATTTCTCATAGGAGTTGGTGGAACGTTCGCGATTGGACTAGAAAAGTAAACAATGTCTAAGTCTTTTCTGGAATGCGTCTTACGCTGCAAAGAAAAGGGGTTCAGAGAACATTAAGATGTTTTGATCTATAGATATTTTTAACTTTTCGAGACAAGTGTATTATTCTTTGTGTACTCATATGTGTTTATTCGCATTCATCATTGTACATTCTTAATTGGCAGATTGTACTAACTGTGTACCGGCACAAGACATTCCCGTACTCTGTAAGTTGTTGATTGTAATTATATTTCTTTTGTTTTGTAATTATAATAATACTTAAATAAATCTTATTAATTGTAATTAGCAACTGTTTTGAGTGTCGTATTTTTACTATTCTATTTCTCTATGGTATCGTCCTTTGTTAGGGACTGTTTAGAACGAGCCATAACTTAAAACAAGAGATTAATTTCTCACAAATAGAAGGCAGTGCGTAACAATGTACATTCACATATGACATAAAATTCAAATTCTGGAGTAGCTGCTTTCACTGACCAATGACCTATAACCGTCATCCTAAAGCAGCTTCTTCTGCTGCACTCTGACCTTTGAGCCACATACTGCAGTGGCTTCCTCTGCTTTGCTCTGACATATGACTTATGACCCCCAGGAACAATTGCCTCTGCTGCAATCTTAACAGATTAACGTGGAATTTTTAAATATTTTTTTTACGTTTTCATTTTGCTATTTTTTTCCAGTAAGTGTTCAACTTCAGACATCTCCTCACTCTGTTTGACACCTTATATAAAACTCACAATGTCTTGGAAAGATTGTATGATCATTTTTAGATAATTTTGGATAACATAAAACTTAACTTGACTTTTATATGTACTGCACTTAACATGGGCGTAGCCCTAGTAGCCAATTACGGATTAATAACCAGATTTGATGAAAACTCTAAGTGTCCTCTATTTTATCTGAGGACTTAGAAACCTTCTCTGCGTACCGTATTTGACATAGAGGCTGGCCAGAGTAATTCCAAAGAGACCCGGTAGCTCTCCAACAACCGGAAGCTACCTCTGGCAAACTGTTTGACATGAACCAGTTTATAGGTAAAAACCGGTTACTTCTGCTTTCTGTTTTGTTGCTGACACCATTGAGTGTTGCTGGAGTGTCCTTTCCAGGGACACTACTAAACCTGGGGATTTCTATAAGAGAATTCACGGTTCCCCTAAATGCAGCTTTAGACATATGCTGACACAGTCTGACACTAACTTGTATGAGGCTACCAGCGACGCTCACTCCGCTCACATATGTGGCAGTATATTATGCTTTAAACCAAATTTATTGTAAAGGGGAAAAAATGCAAAATAATTTTTTTTTTAAAGTTCCTTTCTTTGAAAAAAAAAACAAAAACAAAAACGATAAATGTTCTTTGAAAAAACAAACGATAAATGTAACAGTTTTTTTGTGTGTCAAAAAGTTTAGGATGTGTCTCCCCCACCTTCCTGTTAGGCCGTCCTATAATTTAACTAATGTCAAGATCTGGCTTGATCTTACATCAGTGTTAACTAGGCTTAGCTCCATCTATAACTCCCCACAATTTATTAAGAAATAACTGGTCCGCATTACTAGCTCTTACTTAAAAGAATTAATCCAAAACATTAAAGATACCCGGCTACTGAAGACACTGAAGTGTCTAATGTCATCTGAATCTTCGGCTGGTCATTTTTAATTTTCCCTATGTTTTTTTTTTTCAAAAAACCTTTTCTAAGAAAATGTACAATAATTTCCTGGAAATCCCTATGCAGTTTTGTCTTAGCTATCTAAGATGCTTTTTATCTTTTTTATGACTTAAATAGTTTTTGAGATATTTTAACTAGAAGGGGTGGGGACCACTATAAATGAAGGCGAAAACACCTTTAATGACTAAATGTTAAAATATCCTCCAACGATGGAAACTTGTAAATATGCTAAGGTATAGTGAATAAAATCCCCTTTCTAACTAGATATAATTTATAACTTAATACGCTAGGGTTCCCGAGAAATAAATTATTGAATTTCTAACCAAAGCGCACATCGTGGTATTTTATTATTTCCTCCCTATGCGCCGGCCGTATAGTGACCGTCCGGGTGGGGGGGGGGTGGGGAAGGTGAAAGGGATACACTGAGAGCGGGTTACACACCGCGCGCGCCAGACATGGTTTACGTAACGGGTCTAATAGTGGGTTGGGACATACACTGCCACACAAACATTGTTTACGTAACGAGCCTAATAGTGGGTTGGGGCATACACTGCCACACAGGAAACATCAAGATTGTTGGTTTGAAATGTTTTCCAGGTAGACCGTCCCGGACAAGATCGATTCAAGACCAGCCGCACGATTGGCTGCAGCGAGTGGAGACGGGAAAGGTAGTGACTGCCTTATATGGTCTAGGAATCGCCTGCATGGGCTCATGTGCAGCCAACCGAGACGAGCCCCAGGACCGTGAAGGTCATCTGACATGAGTCCAAAGAAAGAAAGGAGAGTACAGTAACTGACCCTCAATATTTTCAAAAACATGTCTTTTTTTTTATAGAGACTATTAAACAAATAAAATACACATTTCAAAGATCAACAGTGTCCTGCATAATTTTCTTTTAAATGAGTTGAAAAAAAATTAATAAAATTTAATAAAATTCAACGTACGTACTTCGAAATTAAAAAAAAAATATTATTTCACTGAAATTAAATTCATCTGGGAATATTAGTCATATTTTAGTGCATCTAAAGTGACTGTAACGCTTTGAATATTTGTTAATTCGAGACCACCGTGTTTCAGTGTTAGGATTAAATGTAGTTTGGCTGGACACTGGATCCCCCCCCCCCAAAAAAAAAAAACAATCTTGTTTAAAAAGCCTTAATATACTCACCTTGTGTATTTATGAAAAATATAACACAACTATCTCCCCACAATTAGTTTTTGTGAATCAAATATTCCAGTTAGTGCTAGGGATGTAAATCTCCCCACAGTATGTGATAGTGATTGAAATTTTCCCACGGTTATTTCTAGTGATTCAGTAACACTTATTCTAGCAGACATGGCATTTTTGGGGTTGCATTTTTGGTTTAAAGATGCAATATTCATTATTATAATTCAAGATTCCTAAATATAGAAAACTGTCATTTGAAAATAATAACCATTAAAATGTTCACCAACAATTTGGAGGTTTAATGCACTTTGTGGTTGAAATATATGAAATATAATATATATACCAGCTTAAGATCATTTGTACTGTCACATATTGATCAAGCCACAGCAGACTATGAAGTTTAATTATTGGCTGAAAACTTCTTTGTGTAAAATCTGTAGTCTTTCTTTATGTTGCATTTTTTTGTCAGTTCCAAAGACTTTTACCTTGACTTGCACAAAAAAGTGTTCTGATGGGCCACATGTCCTTACTAGCACGCATTTTTTGTTACAACTATACGGCCAGAATAGTTTTCAACACTTACTATTTTTCATGCATAAAATAGTATTTTTGGTTCTGCTGCCATCTGGAGCAACAGGGGGAATTTATCGAAAATCTACAACGAAAAGAAAGACCGCTCATACAAGAGTAAGACTAAGAGTTCTTTTATAGTGTGTCAACTGCATTTACTCAATGTGTTAGGGTCATTGAAGCTTCATCCCAGATTATGACTTTGGCAGGAGTTGTCGGAATGTTTCATTGTGCCAATGTTATCCACCTAAAGGACTCCATCTCCTGTGGTTAATTTAAACAATCGTGTTTGAATTCAAAGTTTCCTTCTTTTAGATGAGTTGACATCAAGGGGCTTTGGTGGGGGATTGACCTCCAGGCCATGAGCTAGAGTGGCTCAGTTTAGACCACTCGGCTACCCAGCACCTAACCGACACACTACCTGCGCAATATATCATAGATTTCAATGGAGCTGATTATCCCAGTGTCTGACCACCTAGTGATCTGTCCTTCAAGTCTCAGAATAATTTCTCATCGTCAAGTTTATCCAGCAGGCGTCATTTTATGGATTTTGTTTTTTCTGGAAATTGAAATCTCCAGATCAGTAGTTTGGAATTTGTAGTCTTCTTCAAGCAATATTACAGATAAGAGAATTTTTTTTTAAATTTCGACCCCCGTTCTTTTAAATAAAAGCATCTTTTTTTAACGGTAGTTATCAGTTGACGAACACTTTTTAACCATTTCCTATTTTACGTAATTTCTCTTAATATGAGCTAAAATAATTTGAATCTTGCGTCTGGAACTAACTGTTTGCAATGACGTTGCATTTCCAAAATGCGCAGTTGGGTACCTTTAAAAATGTTGACGCTCTGTAACAAATATTACTACGTCCAGGGCTATACAGTACTAGAACACAGTGCTAGAACACAGTACTAGAACACGGTACTAGAACACAGTACTAGAACACAATACTAGAACACAGTACTAGAACACAGTACTAGAACACAGTACTAGAACACGGTACTAGAACACAGTACTAGAACACAGTACTAGAACACAGTACTAGAACACAATACTAGAACACAGTACTAGAACACAGTACTAGAACACAGTACTCTAGAACACAGTACTAGAACACAGTACTAGAACACAGTACTAGAACACAGTACTAGAACACAGTACTCTAGAACACAGTACTAGAACACAGTACTCTAGAACACACTACTAGAACACAGTACTCTAGAACACAGTACTAGAACACAGTACTAGAACACAGTACTCTAGAACACAGTACTAGAACACAGTACTAGAACACAGTACTCTAGAACACAGTACTCTAGAACACAGTACTAGAATAGAGTGCAGGCTCACAAAACTGAGATGCAAACCATGGTTCCTCAAAAATGTGTTCCGTCACAAAATGGTAGCGCGTTGATTATACGATCAAGAAAGCCACATTAATACTAAGAGATGTGAGTTTGAATCTGTTCAAGGATTTTATTTTATAATAAATATCGATAATGCAATGACTTTTTATACCCGAAAACTTAATATTTGTTCTTTGAATTGTATTGCTTATATTATATATTTAGTTCAGTAGAATATGGAAAACATTTTTAGTCCAACACACACGTGACGTGACTTCTATGAATTGTTTGGAAATACTTTGTGTCCGACACTGGGCAAAAACAAATTGTAGTTGTTGTTTTTTCTCCCAAAATATAAATATATGTAACCTAAGGCATTAATGTAACTAATTAGGATGTACTTTCGTGTCATGACTTTGCCGACTGACATTCATCTTCATAATATTAAAATATCTTTTTATTTGACCCTTCAAAATTTGATCTCATTTTGACCGCTAATTTCAGTGGTGCTTGCTTTGTAACGGCGCTGTTAGTATCACGTTTAAGCTTTTTTTTGGTTAAAATTTTAACTTGAAATTTAAGCGATAAGCTTATGTTATATTTATACTTATGTAAAATTTACTCAAAAATTATAGAAAGTCTATCGCCGATGAAGATGGTGGTTCTACTGGCTGCAAAATGAACTTCCGCGCCAGCCAGACACAAGCTCTGAATGACTGCAATGCCTGGGAGTCACAAGCTCTGACTTGCTTGTCACCCCAACAATTCTGTCCTCTGTGGATCCTTTTAAGGATTTTGTTGTGATTGACAACAGCCTGATTTAGCCAAACGGATTTTCCGGTTTTCAATTGCTAGGCGACCCGGGGAATGTTTATGGCTACCCCCAAAACAGCCCACCTTCGAGTCATTTTTTTTATTCATAACCGTTCAATGCACTCTAGACACAAGGCGGGAGATGACATATGTTGTTGTTGTTTTTTTATCGTAGTAATGTTGAAAGTAAGGTTTACAAGAGAAACTCCCACCACATGACCAGTGGAACATATTGTATGAGCTAGAGAAATTTTAAGGGTTTATTCTCTAAACGACTTTACTAGAATGTGACCTTTTTCATGTCAACATGCATGCAGTTATAGAAGACAGAAGACGTGCATAGTTTACTCTAATGGGGACTTGTGACAGTGATTCAAAAATTCTTACCAGACCAGTGGTTCTTAAAGTGGGCGGCACCGCCTTCAGGGAGCGCTGGGATTGCTCAAATGGGCGCTGGAAGACTCGGTAGATTTTGAGGTATCGTTGTTATTACAAAAAGGGCCGCTGGCGATTTATATACTTTTATCCATTTAAAATTGAAAGTTATGGACCCTATTTTATAGAAAGATGATACAGTAGTTGTTATATTCAATGAACAGATCAAATAATAGTTGTGGATAAACATCAGTAAGATATAACTATTATTGTATCAGACACACAAGGAGAGGGACAATTAAATATAGGCCTATGTAGTGCAAGGGTTAGTTCCGCCCATGGTGGACCCGGCTTTTTGCCTCCCCAATTCTACGAAAAAACTTGGCAGTCGGTCGTACACGCTGCGACTTTTTGTATACAAACAAGTTGGAGAATCTTTTTTGTTTTAAATTAAATTGATGAAATAATTTACCAAATCCATTTTCTCATAATATTGTAATGGGTCAGAACAAAAGCGAATTTGTCATTAATTTTCACATTTTTATGCCAACATGACTTTTTTTTCTTCTAAAAATAAGAAGAGAAATATTCATGAAACAAATATGATTAGATTTAGACACACCAATAGTGTGGGCCATTTAAATAATCTGCCATTCTAAAAATAAAGCTTGGCATGTCGATCCTGTAGATTGAGTGCTGATGACATCTTTTAAAGAGCAGACTAAAATTTCCTTAAACCAGTTGCAGCTTCTAAACTATAGCTGATGTGTTCAAGCCATTGCATTATTAGAATCATTACACCAAATAATTTAGGCAGCAAAAATATCGTTCAACTTGCCCCGTGTAATTAATAAATGAGGCCTCGTTACCTCTTACCTTGAAGCAGATATGAATTATTACCCGCGCGTCACATTGAAAAGTTTGAAAAGTACTATGATGCTACAGAGTACAGATTTCATAGAACGTATTTTGTACTCTACGACTGCGTTTTAACTAAAGCTGAAAAAGAGGCATGGATCACGTGATGTGCACAAGGTGCAGTATGGATCCATGGTATAACGACTCAGTCAGATTTCCTTGAAATTCTTATCCAGCTATTATCGGGGCCGAGCCGGTGCGACAGAACTTATTTGAAAAGATTGAAATGTCCCATTATCGAAACGAGTTCTCTCGTGATTAGAACTTGTTGGTTCAAATATTTAGAACTTTTGAAAGAACTCATCACGCAAAGGAATATTTCTTGCGTTGGGTTAATATAAATGATTAAATCAGTAGCTTCATTTAAAATAGTATAATTAAAATTTTAGACTGAAAGAAAAATGAAAGAAATATTTCGGTCATGTTGTAAGAAGACAAAAAAAAGGACAAAAACAACAAAATGATGACGCGATTGGCAAACAGTTACGCATTGAAATATTGATCATGTGTAGGGAGTAAAGCTGCAAGAAGTTTCATAATTCATAGATGATATTTTTTTATATTTTTGGCTCAGCTTCAAAGTTATCAGAGTTGGGCAAACCAGAAGTTTGTAAATGTCATGAATGCACAATTCAAATGAATAAAAACCCCTAGTGCATGATTTCCTCATCACCACCAGTAACAGAAACATTGCAAATCCCATCTACATGCATAGGAGCCAAAATGATCAATAAATTGATCGTGGGCCCTTAAGATATAAAAGAAGAAGAAATGTACGCTGTATGGTGCACACGGACGCCTGCGGTAATGGTAACGGTGGGAGAGGTACCACCCACCCCCCACACCCGAAATGACTACATAACAAAATAGTTTTAATAAACGATTTTACTTATATCCAAATAAATGTCCCAACCTTGTCTGACAGACTTCCCCCATAGGGCGCAGGGAAAAGGTATCTTCTTCTTCTATATCTTAAGGGCCCACGATCAAGTTATTGATCATTTCGGCTCCTATGCATGTAGATGGGATTTACAATTTTTCTGTTACTGGTGTTGATGAGGAAATCATGCACTAGGGGTTTGAAGGCTGGAGGCAATAGACACAAATGTGTCTAGTGTTGTCGCCTCAACCGTTCCTTTTGAAAGATTGTTCCAGTCCCTGATTGTCTTGGGCAGGAATGAGCAGCTCCTATACTGGCTTCTTGCTGGTATGAGCCTGAATTGCCTGTCATGGCCTCGTCGCTGTCTATGGGGGAGAGGGACGAGTTTCTGTTTAATACTGGAACAGTGGACCAGCCCATTATTTATCTTGTACATCATGGAGAGCCTGGATTGTCGTCGTCGTTTCTCCAATGGTGACCAGCCTAGTGTTTCTAGCATGCTGCCAACACTAGAGGTATTCCTGTAGCGGTTTAGGACAAAGCGTGCTGCTCGTCGCTGGACCGCCTCCAACCTGTCAATGCTCTTCTGGGTAAATGGGTCCCAGACTGAAGATGCATAATCTAAAATCGGACGGACAAAGGCTCTATATGCTCTTTCTTTCACAAAGGAGTTGCCAATCTTTAGATTTTGCCTTAAGAACCCTAGGGTCTTGTTTGCTTGGTTACATACATTGTTAATATGCTCGTCCCAGCGGACCTCTCTTTGAATGGTAACACCCAGGTATGGATGGGGTCTTTCTCCCCGGGGGACACTTTTCGACCAGCGCTCGTTGGTAGTTTGTGCACGACAGTGAAGCACCGATTGCTCACCGATGACGTACGAGCAAAATTTGCCAATGTAATCTAATTTAATGTAACCATGTTCACATTGCTATAGCATTTGTTGGAATTGTTTAAACCGAGTTCTGTCTCGTACTCAGTCTTGGATTCTGTTGAAGTACGGAGCGAATGGAACCGTAGCGTTAAGGGCCACCTGCAAACGGCCGAAAAAGAGGTTTTTGTTCCTGTTAACCTTTTTTTTTTTTTTTTTTTTTTTTTTTTTTCTATAAAACAAAAAAAAAAATTTTGCCAAGAAAGCAGAAACAGAAACTTGACAAGTAGAAACAGAAGCCGCCATAGCCATCGGTGAGATTTTATTGCACAAAACCGAAAGTAGAGTCAATCACTAAGACTTGTGTTTTCTCTTGACTGTAAGTAAACTGAATGCGTCTTGCCAGTCATGTGTGTCTTGAATGTAAGCGTTTGTCTAGAGTGGTAATATTAGTGTGTGTGGGGAATGGGATTTAATATGAACAGTGCACTAAAGCTCCTTGAAAAGAACACTCTTCAATAGTTTTTAAAGAAAAGAAGTTATTGCATTGAAATTTATAGAGAAGGCTTATTTTTAACTTGATTCGCATGGATAGGCAGTCCTGATAAGAATTTGCGGAATATCAAATTAGCATGTTAAAAAGTATGGAAATTCTGTCGGGTGTAAAAATTGTAAATCTACAACATTTGAAGACTGAAACGTTCATGGTGGTTATGAATTTTATGATAAAAATTTCATCAGATTTTCAAGACACGAGTTTTTAAAGCTTCTATTTAATGACAGATATTTCTCATTCGGATCAGCTAACATTCACATGTAGACAGTGGAGTAGCTTGGGGCAAGTGTCGCCCCGTGCGATAAACTCATGGTAACAACCCCCTTCTCCTCCCCGACTTCCACGATGGATTTCTTGTTAAAATAAGTCCACAGTATAACAATGACAACAAAAAAAAACAGCAAATTAATTAAAGGTCAGGAGGTAGATATAATAAAGAAATGTAACAACGTTAAGTCATTGTTACTTTTACATTCAATTTACTTTATTTAAACTTTTCCTTCGGTCTTCAAAGCTGCAAACCTGTCAATCACTTGTTTAAAATCAATATCTTTCACCCTTTCACTTTCAATTGATAGTAGATCCATATCAGCAAGCCCTATCTAACACACTGGTAGAATGTAAACAGCTCTTGATAAGCCTTAGTTTTAAAAAGCTCTGCCCACATAAAGCCACAGACACAGACTGTAAGAAACATTAGAAGGCTTACGAGAGCATTTGAATTTCAAAACATTAAATACTGAGCAGTGCCTGACTTTGTCAACTTCATAATATCAGCTGTCTTTAGGTGTCTTGTAAACATTGGTATTTCTTTTAAAAGTTGTAATCGAAAGGGGTTAATTTTGGAACGGCACCAATAACTCTTATTCAATTGCTAATCGTTGACTCTTGGGTTGAACTGCCCCAAACATATATGATACTTTCTAGATCGCTAATGATCTAATGTGGAGTTCAGAACGAAAACGATCAATACACTCCAGCATCTCCCAACTGTTTGCTTCATGCACAAAAAGTGCAGAATCGAATATTTGCTCTCATGTCATTCCCTTCTTAAACCATAATCTGCTCTCTACCGCAATTCCACATTACTCTGGTTTTAAAAGTGCCTTTTCAATAGCATGTTCCACCAAGTGACAGCGCTTCTATTGCACAAACAATGTTAAGGCCTCTAGGTTGGCCGCCACTTTGTCAAGAGTAAAGCCTTTAGTCTGCAGATACTGCTGTGTAAGATTAACTTTCACAAGTAGATCAGCCCAAAGCTAAAGGTAGCAGATAAACGTGAAATCGCAGAAAGCATGTAAAAAAAAAAACTTCGTGCTGTACCTCTTGTATCCGAATTTTCAATCACCGGCATACATTCATCAAACTCATCTTTCACTGTTTTAACAGCAGCATGGCGATCAAACTTCCGTGGATCAATTTCCCGTCGACGAAATTCCTTTCAAACAAACTTCCGGTATCCAGAATTAAGCTTTCAAACGAAAATTTGGAAGAAGATGACGACATAAACTCACACCGAGAATTAATAAAGAAGACATGTAATACAACAAGTTAGCAGGACTAAGGGGTTATACCCCGAACAAATACACCATAGATAAGACAAAGTAAAAGACATTTAGAACACCAATCATTCATTGTATCAAGTTTGTATATTTATTTCTACAAAAAATATTAGTAGTTAAGGTTATATATTTTTAAATAATTAATTATTGTATTACAATGTGCAAGATATCATTTATTGTAATCTGAGGGTATAGCTGATGAATGTAGTAGAGTCTCTTTAATTAGTTTATGTATTTCATTTCTTACTACTATACATTATTAAAAAAACACTTAAATATAACCCCAAAACAATAGCAAAGCAATGAGCAAAGAATAACTTAAGTATTTGATTTAAATTGGTTGATACATGGTTGTCATATTTTTCCTGAAAATTGTGAAATTCATTTAACATTCATTGAGAATTGGATGAAGATGGGTTTTAATCTTTTTTAAAAATCAACTCTATATTTTTCAAAATTACAGACTGGCATCCACATTTTTTTCAAAGATGCTCATATTATTATTTTTTAACAGTGTTAATTTGATTGATAAAAATCAACTTGAAGTTAGCTATATATCGTTTTAAGGGTCACTTAACTTACATATAAATGTGGTCAATAATAATGCATTGAGCAACGTCGGCCTTTAGAGTGTGCGACCTGTGCCCTCGTACAGGGCGCCGTGGTCATAGGGGCGTCAGGGACACGCAGTAAATATTTAAATTCCATTAGCTTATTATATTCAAGTGTGAACCTTGGGTCCAGGGTCTAGAAACGGTATTCTAACTTGTCGTACAATCGCTTTTCATACAATGAATTTTCAAGCAATGAAACTTGCATTCTTAATTTGGACACTAACGCTGGGGTTGGGAACCGAAAGGGTGTGAACATTAATTGATTATTGTGCATGTTAAAATGCGCATGGCTAGCTACATGTATACCATCATAACACGTGCTCCATTGCCTACGTCATAATCGGAAAAAGAGCGGAGCCATTACAGGGACAGGGCCAGGGGGCGCTGAACGGATGCTTCGAACAGGTTGAAAGTTTACCTAAGGCCGGCGTTGCTTTGAGAACCTTTGTACTAGATCTTATGAGCTTAATAATTCACGGCAGTGTAGTAGATTTGACAAGTCCTGGCGTGTTGCGCCCACTTGTCAAAATCTGTCACGTGCTACAATTTTACAAAACAAAAAAACAAAAAAAACAGCAAAAACACAAAGACCATTGTGTTCTAAGGGTTTGGGGAGAATGTCTCAGGGAGACTTTTGTATACGGTACACAAAAAAAAACCCATACGAGATCAACCTTGAGAAGCACTAGTACAAGCCAAAGTGACATTCACGTTACAGAGTAAGATTGGAACATTGCAATGAAAGCAATAACTTTTATGTAAGGGTTCAATACAACACAATTACTGTGAAATGGTTCAATTTGAATTCTCTTAACAAATACATTTTTTGCAAAGGGTAAATTTTCCACATTTGTTTTAAGGAAACTTAATTCTAAAAAAAATTAATGTATGTAAACTGAATTTAACGACATTAAAATCTAATACAATTCATTTAAAAAGTAAACCTCAAGCTAAGCACATAATAAAAAACTTGGATAAAATACAGGATATTTCACCAGAACAAAACAAAAATTAAACTAGTTTTGTAATGAAGAACATATTCATCGTCGGTACAGTGTTTGCTATATATTTATATATAATATTTTTATTACTTATAACCATCTGAGTATTAGTATATACGGATGTCATAACGATTTTTTAAATAAAGAGTTTTAAAGTACATAGAAATAAAAAATTCCAATTTGAGTTGTTCCATTTTCACTTTCAAAAATCAGTCATAGCATGGGATTTATTTTAAAAAAATTTCAATTACTTTTTTTTAAAAATACGTTTACAGCAAGTTCAACAAAATGGTCCCAAGCGTCTGATCTGAGTTTTTAATTGTACAAACATGTGTTCAAAAATTATGTGTACCAACAAAACATGAACGCCTTTGAATAACATTAGAAGTACATCTTACGCTCAGCGAATGAAATTCACAAGCTTTGCTCAACTTGAAACTGCATTAATTATTATCAGCAAATGAAATTCACAAGGTATGTTCAACTGGAATTAATGCAGTCCATCAATTGTTATCAGCAAATGAAATAGTTGAGCCATACATCTGTTGGGGGGGGGGGGCTTAATTTTCGACAAGTATTGCTTATTGGAATACAGTTACATCTAAAGTAACTAAGGTAACTTTGATAAATATGGTAACTTCGGTAACTAAGGTAAAAAATTGTTATCAGCAAATGAAATAGTTGAGCCATACATCTGTTGGGGGGGGGGGGGGGCTTAATTTTCGACAAGTATTGCTGATTGGAATACAGTTACATCTAAAGTAACTAAGGTAACTTTGATAACTATGGTAACTTCGGTAACTAAGGTAACAAACGTTTCGTTGTGGTGTTATGTTAAGAAGTCTTCACTTTGAAGCAGAGAGCGGTGCTCAAATCAAGTATTAATGTTAAATACTTACAAAATTGTTATCTCTTGTGGACCGATGGCTTGCCAATTACAAGTTTCAGTAACGCTGACTTGAGGGACGCTTAATAGTACACATTTACGTACCACTGCCTTTAAATACCCATAGTATCACCGATTTGAGTACCACTGATTTAAGGACCCCTTAATATTACCAATTTACGTTCCTATTCATTTAAATACCCATAGTATCACCATTTGAGTAATACTGATTTTAATAATCCCGAGTCAGCACTTTGAGCACCTCTGAACTTTAAAAGACATATTTTTAATTTGAGTGGAGACCTAGACATCCGGAGCTTTTTAGAGACCTAGACATCTGGAGCTTTAGTGGAGACCTAGACATCCGGAGCCTCAGTGGAGACCTAGACATCCGGAGCTTTAGTGGAGACCTAGACATCCGGAGCTTTAGTGGAGACCTAGACATCTGGAGCTTTAGTGGATACCTAGACATCCGGAGCTTTAGTGGAGACCTACACATCTGGAGTTTTAGTGGAGACCTAGACATCCGGAGCTTTTTGGAGACCTAGACATCTGGAGCTTTAGTGGAGACCTAGACATTCGGAGCTTTAGTGGAGACCTAGACATCAGGAGCTTTAGTGGAGACCTAGACATCCGGAGCCTCAGTGGAGATCTAGACATCCGGGGCTTTAGTGGAGACCTAGACATCCGGAGCTTTAGTGGAGACCTAGACATCCGGAGCCTTAGTGGATACCTAGACATCCGGAGCTTTAGTGGATATCTAGACATCCGGAGCTTTAGATATTTTCTAAGCCCATCACAGCCGAAGTTATTGCGGAAAACACCAAATCCATGAATCCTTTTGTTCAACTTTTAAATGATTAAATTATCATTAGAAATATATTCCGGTAAGGTACTGGGGGATTAAACCTGGTTGTCTATATGACATAAGGTTTAAACCTGGTTGTCATTTTATTTCATATCCCATATAATATTATTATTGAAAAATACTGTAAGTTGAAACCGAAATTGTAATTTTTTGACCCGGAAGTATTTGAGTCGTGTTGAAAAATGATTTTCTTTTTGATAACAAACAAATTGTATTTGTGTGTGTGTTTTTTCTTGTACAGTTCTTCTCAGTAAATTAGATTGATGTTCGATCAACCGAATTTGTCTTAAAGTAGGACTCGATGGATCTAATGCCTGATAAATTAGATAGGAAATTAAAGAGAGATGAAAAAAGCCCTTGTTTCTTCAGTTCTTCGCGTTTTAGTTGCTGGTACTCTTTCTCCAAACGATCAATTGTTTTCTTAGCTTCTGATATAGCCTTCGATCTCTCTTTTTCTTGTTTTTCAATTTCTTCTTTTATTCGTTTTACCCAAGCCTCTTCTGCTATTAGCTTATTTCTTTCAGCCTCTCGTCTTTGTTGAATTTCCTCTTGTTTTCGTTTTATCTCAGCCTTTTCTTTTACTAGCCTCTGTTTCTCTTCCTCCCGTCTTTGTTGATTTTCCTGTCCTTCCCTTAAGCCTTGGTGTACCGTTTTCTTTAAGTTATCAAACTCCTGCTTCCTCTTCAACTTCTCTTCTGGCTTTTCTTCTACCACCGGTGCTGCTTGTTTCTTAGGAGGTGAATGCGCCTTTTCTGCAACTTTTAATTGTTTCAGCCTTTTCTTCACCTTATCCATTTCATCTTCCTTTTGTTTCAACTCATGTTTCACCTCTGGTTTCAGCTGCATTTTGTACCTTTCCTTTTCTTTTGTAAGCTTCGTCAGCATTGCTTCAAGATTTCTTTTTTCTTCCGCAACTTTCTCCGCCTGGACAATCGAAAGCTTCAACTTCTCAATTTGTTGATCTATGCCGGACACGACATTGGAAACAGTTCTCATCGTAGAATTAAGCACTCCTGTATCTTTGTCATCCTCCTTAATTTTCGAATACAAATTTGTGGCTCGCCGTCTGAGCTTCTGGAGATCATCTAGGTCTTGAGGTACCATTTGTATTTTACTCAACGAAAATGTAATGATGCCCAATTCTTTTAGGTGTTCTTCTTTGAGATATGGCCTTCCCCCCAAAAGCGTGACAAGGCGTTCTCTTTCCCGTTCAGCTTCTTGGAACTCCCTGTTAGTGTACCGCAGGCCATTGGCATTTAATGCGTCGATTGTCTGGATCAGCGTTGTGATTTGTTGAATTTTCTTTGCTTCATCTTTAGTCCTGTTGTCAAACAGCAGCACCCTTGACCCGCACTCGGCGACCAAATCTCTGAAGTGTGGCTCCTGTTGTCTACAGACCCATTGGTTGAACGTTAAATTTTCTTCTTCTATAACTGGGTCACTTTCAAAATTGTCACCGCACGTCAGAACAAGGATGCAGTGATTTCTAATAAAATCATCGCCCAAAATCTGCTTGAGTTTCTTCACCGTGTCGACCTCTTCCTTGGTGTAGCGAACGCTGTACCGTATCACGAAGAGAATCGCATGGTAACCGCTGGGATTGCTGGCGATGGCGTTCTTGATGGCCGTAATGAACTGTTGGACGTCCGCCACTTGGTCCAATCGGTTGTCTCCAAGACCTGGACTGTCAACTTTTTTTTCAAACACTTTTTCAATTAAAGGATGTTTAGTGTGTGTTATATTAATAGCTTTCTTACTAAATCTATCTAAGCAGTGGGTGCTTTTTTAATAGATAAAAAGTTGACGACACATCACTTCAAAGGAGGGAGCAGAAATCGAAGACATCGAAGACATCGAAATTATCGAAGACATCGAAGACATCGAAAACTTTTAAAGCGTAACTGGGATTGGTTGTGCGGAGGGAGCTCACTCTACAGAAAATTCAAAATGCAAGTGTGCATTTTGGCACATACTTGAATTCAGTTTTGTATCATTCTAAACTTAAACGGCGAGCAAGAGAAGAGACTTTAGTGGAGATTTAGGTGACCCTTGACCTGCATGTTTTTATAAAATTTATTCGTTTCTAGTTGTTTTCTAAATAGTAATGTTGCTATAAAACTTTTATTTCACACTTGTTTTTTTTTTCTTTTACACGATTGAATAAATTTTGTTTAAAGTATTTCCGTACAAAATAGTTTCCCGTCACAATAAAGGATTGCTATTATCACGTTGAACGAAAATAACACAAAATAACCTTTAAGTATATTAATTTCCTGTTTGCGTTTATTTCAAATTTATATATTTCCAAATGTTACAGGTAACAAAGAGAGCTAATAGGGCCGGCTGTTAGGTCCTAAGAGATAGGAGCCAGAATGATCAATTCATTGATCGTGGGCCCTCAAAATAAAGAAGAAGAAGAAGATAGACTCTCGACCTCTTAGAGTATTGAACTTTATTAGTAGAACAGGTCTATGTATTATTGTTATTGCTATTTAAAACTGATCATTTTTTATACATTGTTTAGAGAGGGCATATAATGAAAAAAATTCTCAGTTCACACGATCAAATTTGCGTCAAATATTTGTATGAACGCTCTATTTGGTGCGTGGTTTCTTTTTTTTTCTTTCTTTTTTTGACTCAAATTAGAAAGTGATCAAATTGTCATTTGAAAGTTGTAACATGGCTTCATACCAAAAAATTGCATCTTTAAGATTGGGAAAATGATCGTGTGAGCCTCAAAAAGACGTATCACACTTTCATTAAGATGTGGTTTATCTCAAGGAAGTCCACGCAGCAGACATTTCCACCAAGAAAAAGTTTATTGTTTATTTATAATTTCAAATAACTATTGCCAGAGCCGTCGCATGCACCCTGCAATCACTGTCCCTGAAGTGTGTGTGGGTGTGTGTGTGTGTGGGAGGGGGGGGGGGCACTAAGATATCCAAGGGGCCGAAAGTTGCCATAAGACATCCATCCAAAGACTAGATTAATTAGACACCAACAATTTGTGTCAATATAACAATATAATGTAATCTTTAATAATAATTATACATAATACACAAGTAAACGTTTCGGCACATGCCTTCATCAGTACAATAACAAAACATTTAAATAAGTATAAATTAAATTTAGATATATATTTATACATATATCCTACCTATAAAATGGAGAAAAAAAATAGGAGAGGTTGCAAAACCAGACAAAAACAAAGTAAAGGAGAGTGGAAAGGAAGGGATTTGAGCAAATTTGTAAAAACAAAACAGTAATTAAGACATGGCAGCTAGGTAAAATTGTGGATGGTTTATCCCATATGGAGACAACGTACCAAATATTGTTATTGATTTATTCTCTATGTAGATTCTATCTCTTGTGTTACTAGTATACAGTATACCAGTAACTGCGATGTCTGAGATAAAATCATGGTTAGGGCTATTCAAATGTTGGAGACCGGATAGGGAGCTTGCTTATGTATGTTATAGAGGTGTTCTATGAACCGGTCTCCAAGGCGACGACCTGTCTCTCCTACGTATAATTTACCGCACTTTTTGCAAATGATGGTGTAAATCACGTTTCGACTTGTGCAGGTAAAGCCATCTTTTATTCTGAATACTTCCAGAGGGAAAGTGATCTTATCAGCTTCGATCACGTAGGGACATGAGTTACAACTGCTACGGTTTCAGCTTTTGGTGCCTTTATGTGCTTTAATAGCAGGGAGGTGGCTTCTAACAAGCATGTCCCTGAGGCTCTTGTCCCTCCTGAAAGCGAAAAAGGAGGTTTTCTGAAAATTTCATTGTTGACTGGGTCTGCCATAAAAATTGAGTGGTTTTTCAGACCAGAAAACGAAGTTTAAGGTTATGGGGATGAACAGTTAAAATAAATTTAGCCCTATCCCTAGCGTCAGATGAGTGGCTTTAAAAGAATCCCGTATAGTCATACCTTTAACTCGAGTGACAGCTGCTTTTAAAATTTGTTCAGGGTATAACCTGCGTCGGAAAAATTCCAACATTTCAGCCTTCCTTTCTCCAAAATCCTCGTCATTACTGGCGAGTCTTCTCAGTCTCAGCAACTGAGAAAATGGGATGGAGTTTTTACACCATTTAGGATGGGATGATGAATAGAGCAAGAAACTGCGACTGTCTGTCTGTTTATAGAAAATGGATGTAGATATTTTGTTCTCAATCAAGGTTAACTTTTAAATCCAAAAAATTGATGGTGCTTTTATGGATCATTGAAGTCAATTTAATTGTTGGATGAAAATCTCTAATGAAGTCAATAAATTTTTCTAATTGTGTTGTCCATATTGGTTATCCCTATGCAGTCATCTATGTATCTCGTGTAGTATTCGAGGAAAGGACCTTTGTAGTGTTCTCTCCAAAGATGTTCCAAACGACCCATAAACAGACATGCATAACTTGGTCCTATTTTCGTTCCCATCGCAACACTTCTGATCTGATAAAAAAAAAATTGGCTTCAGACGTAAGGAGTGTCCATGATCTTGGGGGACAAAAGCTGAGAAATCGGTTCAAACAAAAAACCTAGTGTATGCTCAAAGTTTACAACTCATTCTTAGGAACTCAGCAGCTATTATTACCGCAAAATTATTCGACTAACGTCTTGCTACAGAGTAATTTTAAGAAACAACTAAAAACTCAAACAAGGATTTTCAAGAGTGAAAACAAACATGGAAGATAGGCCTAAATGAAAAAAAAATGCATTTATTTGGATCAATAAAATTATTTTATCAACTCTAAATTAAGCTGTTAATTTGAATGAAGGACACACAAAACCTAAATTGACAAGGGGGGGGGGGCTCCAAAATTCACGCGACAGATCTGATCATAGCTTTCTTTAGATAAATTCTAATTAATGAACATAATTTTCTGGTTCCCTAAAATATTTAATCCTTTTTTTTTCTCTAGCTTGTCTATTCGGTACAAACTTTTAATTATGTCATATTAATCATGAAAAAGGACCACTTTTCCCATCATTTAAAAGAACTTTTTCGAAAAAAAATTGACCGTTATGGTTCTGTCTTAAGATAGATTTTTTTTTATGTTTATCATTGTCTCCCCCTTTCCCCCCCCCCCCTTTTCTACACACACCCTGCCGTCATAAAGGATGAGCACACTTGGCAGTTGCCCATGACCTCACACTTCTATGGGGCTATTAAGTTGCCCGAAATTAAAAAGATGTCAATACTTCCAACCAGCCAAAAAAAATGTAATTTAAAAAAGTCAAATAATTTGTCAAATATGTATTTAAAATCACGTGATAATAAAATTGGGATTCTTGATCAAATTTAAATGAGCCATTGTTATAGTGGTTGTGTTATTGTACAAAACTTGAGCCTTAGATAGGTTGATGGTACTCAGATAGGTTGATGGTACTCAGATAGGTTGATGGTACTCAGATAGGTTGATGGTACTCAGATAGGTTGATGGTACTCAGATAGGTTGATGGTACTCAGATAGGTTGATGGTACTCAGTTGGTTGATGGTACTCAGATAGGTTGATGGTACTCAGATAGGTTGATGGTACTCAGATAGGTTGATGGTACTCAGATAGGTTGATGGTAATCAGATAGGTTGATGGTACTCAGATAGGATGATGTGACCCAGATAGGTTGATGGTACTCAGATAGGATGATGATACTCAGAGCTGCCATCTTGTGCTCTGTGTAAAATATGCTGTCTTACACCTTGAACGTTTGAACGATGTCTGATCTTTATGTGAGATGACGTAACGAGTCGATCTTTTTCATTCATCATTAATTTGTTGTTTGCTGAAGTGAGAAGTCGACAATAATAGGTAATATAGTGTTTATTTGTAACACCTTTCACATGTCATATAAATATGTATATGTAGATTGTGTACATTGTAAAATCAGAGTTTAACATTTTAATGAATTCAGCAAATAATTAAATTTCATTATTTTAATTTGCATCCCAATTGAGATTTTTATTTTAATTGATGCAAAAAAAAAGCAAAAAAAAAAAAAAAACAATAATATATGTATCACCTGTAAATGGCGGCCATTTTCTGAGTTTGCGGTGGAGGGACTTCTCGGAATCAGCACCATGTTAGCGTTGTCAGTTGTATTTCTAACTTCATGTGCACCATTACGGTCAGGCGCATGTACAACTACATCGTCAGCTTTATCGTCTTCTTCCTGCACAGGAGAAGAAAACTGATCAGATGTAATAACTTGTCTTCGAGTTGGTAAAGTAACATTAGAGATAGCGTTACTCATTTTGTTCGATACTTCCGGTTGAAGCCAAATTTTGTAGGCATTAACGAGATCCCAAACATATTTTTAACAATGCATTATTTTTATTTACTATAAATATATTCATCTTTATATTTAAAAAAAAAAGAATATTAATCAGTGATGAAATATTTTACTATGGTGTAATGTCTTAGAAATTTGGCGAGATTCTCGGTGTTTCTATAGTAACTTCCCGTTTCTCCAACAATGTCATCTACTTCAATAGCTTCATACCTTGGATCCAGGAAACTCCCATAACTGATGACGTAACATAATAGTATGGAATTAAAATAACACGGTTCTAAAAATAGAGAAATAACTCGACCATGATCACCCACCATGCATGTTATATCCATCGGAATAATCCCATAGTTTAGCCTATATCCAGCGGCTTAGCTAGGGTTATTCCGCCCTGTCTCAGCAACCACTTTCC